GAGGGAGAGTTAATTGAGCAAGTGATGAGTTCGTATATTTGGGATGTGTATTCAGTAGGGATGGGAGATATAATAAGGATATTGAACGAGTGAATGCAGGAAATAAAGTACATGGGGCTCTACACTCTATTGTGAAGTCAGAATGCGTCAAAAAAGGCACGTATGGCAATTCACAATGCTGTATTAGTCCCTACTTTAACATATGGTAGTGAAAGTTGGGTGTGGCAGAAGAAGCATGAGAGTAGAATAAATGCAGTAGAAATGCGGTCGCTAAGGAGTATGTTAGGGCTGAATCTGAGTGACACGGTGAGAAACTGTGTGATAAAAGAAGAGTGTGGTTTGCAAGATGATGCAGTGACCAGGATTAAGAAAGGAATGCTTCGGTGGTTTGGTCATGTAGAAAGAATGAATGCGGAAAGACTGACAAAGCAAATATGTGTTGCAGAAGTTAATGGAAGAGTCGTAAAGGGACGTCCTAGACGGAAGTTTGTCGACCAATTTGGTGATATACTAAAAATGGGCCAAATTAAGAGTACCCTTAAAGGACGAGCATGTATGCGTAGGTATCTGCATGTGGGAGGGGCGAGAGAGGTATGTCAGGATCGTGCTAAATGGAAGTCTGTAGTCTCTGCCTACCCCTCTGCGTGACAGGCGTGAGTGTTTATGAAAGCTTATCACTTTACTATATTAAATAAGAAAGGAATATTATGACTATCCAAAAAATAAACACATTGAAGTTTTTAAAAAATTATACTTTTTATTATAATTTTTTAAATACTTATACACAGTATACTGTGGGTTCCATATTGAGAACATCTATTCTAAATGGCTACCTACATGTCAGCAATACAAACTGAATAATTTTCAGAAAATGAAAAGTGGCTGAAGTTCTCAAAATAAAATGTTGTAAAATGACAATATATTCAATATGTTCGTCACATCCAAGCTTACTATGTCTTGTATTACACTAAGATCATGAATGTGATTTACCTTGCCCAAGGTTACTAAGCCTAATATTTGAAATTTGCATAAGCCAGAAAACGTTAGGATGCAGGTCTTGGAATGCAGGTGACTCAAGACCATGCTTTGTGGCATTCTTTGAGGGAGACCTATTTCAACAGTCTAATCTAATGATGATGATGATGATTTAGTCATTTAATTGAAGTTTATTGGGTTTACAGTAATCAGCAAAAATTCTCAGAACTTTTGTGTAAAGTAATATGTAAGAGTTCTTGAAACATGTCTAGATATTGGCAATAAATATTATGTTAAATAAGAAGGATAATATATAGTGATTTTATAAAAAAAATGCATACCGTGCATGCTACATATTACATATAATACACTATGTACAGTATATCATGCATAATAAACGAATACGGTGTTGACAATGTACCTACAAGAATCCATCTGTACATCAAGTCTGGTAAATCTATGGTTGGTATTGAAAACAAGTTAAAATTCGACCATATGATACAAACAAATTCTAACTTTTCTATCTTAAAAATCTACCTGTTTAATGTGGAAATTATGGAAAAAAAGAAAGACTGCTTTTTTTTCCTATATTTGAATAATTTTCAAACGTTCCAAAATTTTTGAGATTTTACATGTCATACACACCAGATATTGTAAATAAGGACTAGGCTTCATGCTCAATTTTACTTGCACAAATTCTAATTTGCATAAGCAAGCATGTATCTTAAGCTGGCAAAATGCTATACTATATGCTATACTCAAAATAAAGTAGCATAAGCAAGTATATATGTTAAGACAGCATGTGGATGCTACACATTCTTTCCGAAAAATTTGTACAATCTGTTTGCTCATGCGAATGTCGTGCAGTGCTATATTATGCTATTTGTCCAAATTTTGCACAAATTGTTGGTGCATGCAAGTTGCTGCAAGTAGCCAGAGCTTTATATATCACCATATGTAGAAAGAAGATCACAAGATTTCCCAAAAAGACATTGGTCACTAAGATATGTTTTATCAATAACAATTTACCACAATCTCATGTAGGTAGTATAAGCAATAAAAAATTCAAACCTTGGTACCTACTTGTCTCAAATGAAACTATTGAATATTTTTATTAATTTTAATAAATTATATTTTCATATATGTATAATAATAATTAATAAAATGATAGTTATCATTACTTAACATCTTAAACTGCAAGCATCCAAATTTGACCGCTTCGATATTCCGTTAAAATACAAGAGGTCAAATGTGACGTCACTCACCTAGAGCACTTTAACTAATAAATACTTATGTTTAGAGACTACTTTTCTATGAAGAAGTTTGGCATTATAGAATCAATATGAAATTTTCTATCCTCTAGTGGTATAAAAAGTCAGTTAGTCTTTGGATATTTATTTATAATCTACGTTCATTTCGTACGCCATTTTCGTGTAAATTTTATTGTGTTGGTTTTTGGATTTCTCTAGTGTTTTATTAGTATTTTAGTTGCATACGGCTCACCTGATGGTAAGTGATTACTACCACCTATTAACAACTGCAACACCAGGGGAATTGCAGATGCGTTGCCGGCCTTTTAAAAAGGAGTAGGCTCTTTTCTTAAAGGTCCCTAAGTCGTATCGGTTTATTATAAAATTGTAATGAAAGTTTTTGTGTGAATATAATTTATCTTTTTACGTAAATAATTTTGAGTAATATATATTAAAATAATTGTGATTTTCGCACTGCCGACATTCGTTTGTTATGTTTTTTTTTTGTTATGAAAAAACAATAATATCTTTTTGTAAAGAAGTAAAACTGCCTGACTTTTGTTTAGACCATAGGATAGAGAATTTTGTATAGATTTTATAATTCCAAACTTCTTCATAGAAAAGTAGTCTCTAAATATAAGTTTTAATAGTATGAAATGCTATGGGTGGGTGCGGTCGCATGCGACCGCTCGGGATTTGCCGGGCGCATGGGATTTTTATGGATTTAAGGGATTTTAAGGAGGATTAAAGCGTTAAGCTAAATCATATTATGTAAATAAATACACACTAACCTATTTTAAAATTTTTAACCATACTTTTATCATAAAGTTAAACTATTAACAATAAAATCTGAAAACGACCCTGCAGGCCATCCCTGGAACTTCCCGCTTATTAGGCATTCTCAAAATGTGACCAAAATCTATAACTTCCTACTTTCGAAAATTATTTATTTTCAAAATGAAAAATAAAGTAATTTCCACTAGGGATGGGCCGAATATTCGTTTCATATTAGGTATTTGGCATATTCAGCAGCTGTACCGAATATTCGGCTAAATCACCGAACATTCGTTAAGGTGGTAGTCAAAGTGTCCACTGTATTGAAATGTACAAATTCAGTAATGCCATGTCTTTCATAATTTTACTGTTTATAGTACATTTTATTTATGGGTTAAATCTACTTGTATAGTGTTATGTTTTTGAGGCACTGTAGATTTATTTCAAATTATAACAAATAGAAAGATAGATAAAATGTTTTTGAAATCAAAAAAAGAAACATTACATTACATTGGTACATTTCACTTAACTTTGGTCGTCACTTTCTCTAAAATAAGTCCAAAAAAATCTTCTGCTACTCATTTGTATCATATAGTTATCAATTAGAACAACACAACAAAATACTTTTTTTTCTCACAAAAATAGTAAAAACATAAGCATGTGCCAACAATTTGCTCAGTACTGCATGACGCAATAACATGTCAGGTGTGGCGAGGGGGTGAGGGGCAGAGTCTGGTGTTGATCTCGCGTGCTTTGCGGTAACAAGTTTCCTGTGATCCTGCCGAATAATGTTCAGCTGAATATTCGTATTCGGTGAAATCCATATCTGTGCCCATCTCTAATTTCTACATCATGGCATCTGAAGTGAATGCTAAGGCTATTATGATATGCTAATCACATTGTTCTTTTTAGTTTTCGCATTCTGAATGGAGTAAGTAATATTATGTAACTAAATAAGAAATATTACCAACTCAAGGTAACAACTAGAATGTTGTTTAAGTACCATTTTTATGAAACTGAAGCGACAAACCAACTCAGTCTTCTACCTAATGGTAAGTGGCTACTTCAGTCCATTGACACCGGCAGCTATGAACAAAGAAAGAAGACTATAGAACGTGTTGTCACCTGAGGACTAAGATGGAATGCCTCCCAGCCTGTAATTATAATAGCTTTCTATAATCTTCAAGTCGGAACACACCAATTCATTTTCAGGCAGCATAAATTGGTAACAGTACCTCAAACTTTATTGCCTATTTTTCAAACCTTCAGTTGTGAATTATTCTTTTGAAATTAAAATGGGATCATCCTTGAGGTAGAGATTGGTCCAGGATTTTCTAAGAAATCCATAAACATATATAAAAAAATGTATAAATATGGAACTGTCTGTATAGGAATTTGTTTAAATTTTTCAGCAAAATTGGGTAACCTATTAATAATTAGGTATGATTATGATATGTATATTATGATACCTATTAATAATTAGCTATGATTATATTATTTTGATATACACAAAAAACACTCGGAGAATTAACATGAAAAAAATAATACTTACATAGTAATATTGATAGTGATTAAGGAGAGAAAAAAATTTATATTGAAATAAATAATTAATATGATAATTATCAACCTTCCATCTATTGTGAATAATATATCAATGAAAAAATTAAATTCACAGTCAAAAATTCGGTACTGTTATGCAAATATACAAACTGACACTATTTAGTATTATGTATCTTAATACTTACCTATTAGCACAATAAGAAATGCATATTTTACTGTTGTAGCATACATTGTTTTCCACTTACTTAAAATATTATTATTTGCATATAATATATAATTACTTTTATTTTTCAATACTAATGCAAAATATTTAAAGATTACAAATTATTTAATCCTCCAAATCCTCATTCTCTACTTATTTACTGTAGGGTAGACTATTTAACACATTAAGGCTGTCTAAAAAACAATAGATACATTTTACAAGCTTTTCAAGGTACTTACACTTGTTTTTGGCATTCTCATCCATGAGCATGTTAAAGTGATGGTGGCGGTTCCACGCAGCCATTTTTCCTTCGTGAGGAGCCCCGAGAAGCACCAGGGCCGCCCCGGCGGGCCCAACTCCGTCTAGGGGCTCCAGTGTCCTCAGCACTCTTCAACTTTGTCACACACTCATAACCCGAAACGCATAGCACACGGTTCACTGTTTCAAATCGCCGTCGCCTTGGACGGCGGTGTCATCGGCGCCAACGCGCGCCACACATGCCTTTGCACTTCCTCCACGCACTAAATGCACTCACGGGTAAATAAGCACGATCAACACGCCAAGCGGTGATTCACCTTCGACGCACGCCGCACTGCAGAGTGCAAGCGGACTCTAAGCGTGCCGACCGCCGACCACTGACACCCAAACACTCGGTTCGCGTCACGTGTGCACCGCCACCGCGACCGCACCACCAACAAACACTATCCTTCGGGCACGAAAACAATTATGCACACGCGAGTAAAAAACCTTATTTTAATTAATGAAAATGGGTAAATTCAACAGCATGGAACGCGCCGCGAGGGAGCAAGACAGACAACACGATTTCTCTTCTTCGATCCGATCCGATCTGACGGCTTCGAAATGAACTCGCGAGCCGCGAACAAAATAATAACAAATGTGCATGAGATGCTTGCTGTATTCTGTGCACGTGGGTTGCGTCACATAGCCGATGTGATGGGTAGTCACTTCGGCAAATCAGACGAAATGATATACAAATTCACGACGCATTCTTGGTATACACAAATTTTAATTATTGTAAGCTTATGAACGATCTCAAAATTTGATGAAATGCGAACTACACTATTATTCACACGAGCATAAAAACTGATAGCTTGACTCCAAACTTTAATAAAAATATTATACAGTTGTAATCTATACTAATATTTAAACAAAACATTTAAACATTCCAAAAAATAGTACTTTGGAACAAAATCGCAAACGCGTTGATCAAGCGCGACAAGTAGGACAAAACATGGCAGACTCGATGAAAAGCACACGAACTTTATCTATGGTGTTTTTAAACGTTATGGTTTCTTCTGCGTTCCTTTACAAACATTTCATTTCTTTCATCGAATTTTAAAAGACATAATACAAATCCGAAAAATCTTTACTATGATTATATTATTATACTTATATATTTATACTAATTTCTACTCATTCATATATAACGCTTGTGGCCGCGTTTTTAATTTGAAAAACATCAACAAAAACCGTAAATTCTACGAAGTATGGATGTCTTATAAGCGTTAAAAGATTTTATTTTTTGCATATACCATAGACAAAAAAGTGTATCATGGCAAGTATTACGTTCGATTATAATTATATTATACGTTAGTAGTTTGTATGATTTGTGTTATACTGTAATGTTTTCGACTGAAGGTCCTCGCAACCATGGTCACGAATAAATAAATAAAAAATTACGTTAGTACTCTTATTAGTTTGTGGCAAGTATAAGAGTGTAGAAGTAAGGAGTAGAGACTGTGTATTAAAAAGTGTCCACAGAAAACCGTTAAATAAGGGTGGCGCCACTATAGCTACGGATTAAATTTTAAAGAACGTGCCGAAAAATATTAGTGCGATAGACGACTTTGTTGAGGTTATATTTACTAAATAAAATTATTTTAGAGCTACTGAGCAATTCAGCAGCACACTTCAAACCGTCGACAACTGCTCAGTTTACTACTTCTCTGTAGCTACTCCAGCGCTGTTGTGGAGAGTTTTTGAACTGTTATATTTACTGCTTACAGGTGGACACTTTTTCAATTATTCTACTATGGGAGTTGGTACTCCTTACTTCTACACTCCATAATGGCAAGTACTAAAAGTTCGGTACCAGCAATTTAGTAGCTTTTTCAGAGTAATTACTAGCAAAGAGAGAACCCTAAAATATGAACAAAATTCTTATTGTTGAATCCTTCAAACAAATTAATAACGTTTAACATGGTACGAAACTAGATAGCTATATTATTCTAACCTTCTTTCTATGGAGTGTAGAAGTAAGGAGTACCAACTCTCATAGTAGAATATGTAGTTGAAAAAGTGACCATCTGTAAGCAGTAAATAACAGTTCCAAAACTGTCAAAAACTCTCCACAACAGCGCTGGAGTAGCTACTGGGATAAAATGAACTAAGCAATTATCGACGGTTTGAAGTGTGCTGCTAAACTGCTCAGTAGCTATAAAATCTAAAATAATTTTATTTAGTTAATATAACCTCGAGAAAGTCGTCTGTTCCACTAATATATTTCGGCATGTTCTTTAAAATTTAACCCGTAGCTATAGTGGCGCCACCCTTATTTAACGGTTTTTTATGGACACTTTTTAAAACACAGTCTGTACTCCTTACTTCTACACTCTATATTTCTTTCTTTTACAAGGTTGTTGCCGTAGACAGAGAATTCTCTCATTCTCTCATTCTCAGTCTACGGTTGTTGCCGTTTTTCCATTCCATAGACACCAATATTGATGTGTCATTAGCGCAACAAATAAACCTGCGAATAAAATAATTCTACAACTTGGATCTTTGAGTATTCAACCAACTAGAGAGGCCATGCCTGTTAATTTTTTTTGTTATTCCTAAAGAAATGGTCTGTCAATGTCAGGAGGAGGCGAGGAAAACACACTACTGTTTACTTCACTACGAATTCAAAATTAAATCGCGTCACCATACATGCACATTGTAGCATTTACGTTCGCGTTCATTGCATTTACGTATATCATCAAATTGTATACTGTGGCCGCTGTCTACATGCGTAAGCAATGTAGGGCGAGCACTATGTCGATATTTTTATCGATAAACAAATCATCATAGCCCGCATAAGTTCAGCGTTGATAAAAGTAAAAAGTTTTTAGTGTTATTTCATTCATTACAGCCCTCCACAAATCCTCTGCTGAACAAAGGTCACCTCTAAAAATTGCCACAAAGCACGATCCTGAGCCATCTGCATCCGTCGGCTTTCTGGACTACGAGACTGCTACTCGAGAACCTTTTTGTCCGCATCGGTTGTCGGTTCTTCAAGCTACATGGTTGGTCCATTGCCACTTCAGCTTACTAATCCGTATGGCTATGTCGGTCACTCTGGTTCTACTGCAGTTATCCTTATTTCTAAGTTTATCATGCGGAGAACCCCCAGCACAGCCATCTCCATAACTCGCTGAGCTTCCTCACATGGGCAGAAGTAAAGGGTATTTTAGTGTCATATAAAATTATGATTTTATGACTAAAATGAATTATGGTCAGTTTTTAAACACTGATCAAACTCAGATTTTAATTCAAATTTAATCAAAAAACTGGCTATGGGCACTTTCCACGTTATATTTATACTGACCAATAATAACACTAATGAGTCAATAGCTTGATCGTAATTATCGGATATAATATCAAACTCGTAGTCGACATAGGCATAACAGGCATTCCATCGAAGTCCTCAGTGGTGACAATACATTTGCATTTTGATTCCTAATCGAATGTAGATGTCTATGGGTCACAGCATCTACTTACCATCAGGTGCTTTATGTGCTCGTTTGTCACCCTTATCCTATAAAAAAATATTAAAGTGTTTATTTAACCGACACTGGGCTTGCTGCACGGAGCGTACATAGAGACATATTACATACTTTGAGAGCGTGGGCCCTCCATAGTTCAGCTGAATCGTTTGTATGGAAATCATAATACAACTGCGGCGTGGCTCTCTGTCGTGCAAAGACTTATATTGTGCAAAATTTTACCAAAAATTTGCTTCGAAAATGGCCTGTAATGTGAAGCCGTATCGTTTTAACTTTTAATTGTGCTTTTAACAGATCTAGAAAAAATCTGCTTGAATCAGATTTTTAGGAATTATCTTTCTGTCCTTAAATCTGTCTGAGTTAGTACTATCTTCTTACATATTTACTACTAAGCAATAATGCATCCACTGCTCTGTCCGAATTGAAAGGATAAAGTATAATAAGAATATGAGAGGCATTCTATCTTATTCTCCAGGACAGGAAGTATTTGATAGCAGGGAAACTTAATTTGGTTAGAAAAATGCAACGGTAAAGGCGTCGCACCTGTAGGCACGCGAAACACGTTCTAGCACACACCGTGTCTACGCCCTACACACGCGTACCTAGCTTGTTATCACCGCCCAGCTACACGGGTATAACGAGGTATAATGGGGTAAAATCGACCGACATGAGCTGAGCAGTAAGAGGAGGGAGTCCACACTCCCCCACTCGGACAGCAGCTAGATAGCTCAAAACCACCAAAGAGGTGACATGATGATCGGTAATAATATCAAATCATAAACCATTTTCATCATCATACTCATCATCATTGCCTTTAAATTTTTTAATCAGCTCGCGGCCTGAAAGATCACTAGCCCTAAGCCAGGTGAAGCTGTAAGAACCGCATAGGCTAACAGTGCTAGAACAAAGCGGCAAAATGAGTAGTTATAGTTCACAAACTTAATATATGTGATAATAACTACGTTCGGTCATAGATTCGGTAGAGCTTTTTAGTATTTGAACACTTTCATACTACTTATATTCCTATGCTGAAGCAACAGTTTGTAATTATTTATTTACAGTTAAATCTCCCCTGGAAAGCCTTACCTTTGATATAATACAAGCACCGAGAAAGAATACGTTTAAATAACCATATTCATAATTTGAAGATGTATAAAAAAAGATAAATTAAAAGTTGTTGTCATAATAAATAATATACTTACTGAATAACTCTTTTGGGCCGGCCACATACATTGGAAATTCCGTTTTAGAATTTCGATTTGAGATTCCATTAATACATCACACACATACGTTTATTTCCCTTCGGAATAACAAAGCTCAGTTAAGAGCTTAGACCATTCAACCCAATGGACGAGTGATGCGCCTAAAGCTACGAACAAAAAATTCTGTCACTTTTGGTGCGGGGGAGGAAACACTACATAGACAATACTGCACACCTACTCAATAAAATTGTGTGTCATAATGGCACACTCAAATCTAAATCTCCAACACTATTACATTTTACGCAAACATGTAGGTTAAATTCATTAACATAGAAAAGTTATGAGTGTAAGACTTACAAATTAATTGCAATGCTACCATATCGATATTTTATATCGATAGTTTACCTAAGAAAAAGATAAAAACTCACAAGCATGAGCAAAATGCACTCGAACAATTAAAATTATCTTTTTAGTTGGTCAGCGTAGCAAGTTCTTTTAGGATTAAAAAGTAACATAACAAGGAACGCTTATAGTTTGGCCAAGTTCAACAGTCTGTCGGTTTGTCCACGGCTTAATACACAGACTTCTAAAGAGGCATGGTTAAACATGAATACCGGAAATAATGTTTTAAATAACAAGCCCTCAACACAAAAAAATTATTTAAAAATCGACATTTATATTATTATAATAAGATGATTTTGTGAAACGAAAACGAAAATAAAGTGTCTCAATTTATTAATTAGTGCAAAAAAATAAAATTAAAAAAATATTTATTTGTGGCTGATCTTATAGTCAACCAAATCTAAGAAATACATTTTGACAGCTGTCAGATTTATTGCACCAAGCATGCCTACCAAAAAAATGGAACGTACAATATTCGATTCTTTAAAAAATCGATATCGATTATTTAGAGTTCGTAATCATTTAGTTTGGTTTGAATAATACCAGAATAAATTTAAAACGGATAATATAAAACACAAGATTTATCAGTTTCTTCGTATTTGTTGTTACAGCTTATTTCTATTATAACTGTGTATAAGAATTTAAGATTGAAACTAGATTAAAAATAAATTTATTCAATCATTTTCGGTAAAACTAGTAGATATATCGTTGTTTATATTAATTATTATTAGATTTTCAATAATACAGACATAATTAATGTCTCTTTCAAAGTCATCCATAGTATTTTTTTTTTGTTTTTTCAACCACTTTTGCCCAATCATCCTTTGTGACATGGACACATGCTTCAACGAATATTTTTTTATAGCATTGGGTGACAAACAAGCACACTTTCCACCTGATGTTAAGTGGATGCTATGGCCCATAGACATTCATATTTATTCTCAATTCAGAATCAAAATGCAAATGCGTTGTCTCACCAGAGGCTTAAGATGGAATGCCTCGATTCCAGTAAAAAGGGTCTCCGGTTCTCTACACTCACCATACGAAACACAGCAGCATTACGCTACTATTTTACGCTGGTATTCTGTGAGAGCGTGGTCCTGCCCCGTTTGAGCCGACCCATTCGTGCTACAACTATAACATAAATGTAGCGTGGCTCTACCACGTACAAAAAGTTATTGTAGAAGAAACAGTCCAAAAAGTTAAAACCGAGTCACAAAATAAGAAAACATACAAAAAATCACAAAATTACGCACAGTAAGCTCTGGAAACAGAAACAGAAACGTTTTTATTCAATATAGATTATGAATAATACTTAATGAAAGTCACTTTTTTCATTTACCACTGGTTCGCAAAAAAAAAACCTTTGTCCTGGGAAGAACCAGCAATAAATCCAACGGGACTAGTTTAAAAAAATAAGAGCTTACAATCATGCGTGTTACAATTAACAACACAAAACAAATTAGAAATAGCTTGGTAGCGATATCCCTTCCCAGGAGTTATTATCATCCATAAATTCCTTAACATTAAAATAACCCTTTTTATACAAACTTAGTTTAATAAAGTTTTTAGACTATGTGTACTCACGTCAAATTTTGTATATTTTCTGGGATTTTGTTGTAAAAGCGTATACATCGCCCCAAGAATTACTGACTCTGTGGAGTCGAGTAACTGGTACCGAAATGGCGGGATATTGAAATTATGTAGTGGTTATTTTAGCACGGCCTTGTATATGATTTTTGCCTACACAAATTTACTTTGACAAAGTAAAAATAAATAAACTTGTTTTATTCATGTTTCATGTAATTTGAGGAATTTTGAAAATAAATTAAACAAATAATACATAAAAAATTAATGATTCGATTATTTGAAATTTTTTACCGATTATTGGAATATTTCGCCGATCATTCACATAACAAAGAATTTTAATCATCCAAGCATTACGGTAATATACATAGCGACATATTATTGAAACGACGTCAAGTAAAAAAGGTTTATACTGGTTATTTTTTAATATTTTGCTTTGTTCGAAAAATTCAAATTTAAATTAGTGTTAAAAAACTATACACGTTGTAATGAAATATATATAAGTTCATAATTCTTCAGATTTACGTAAAAGGTTATTTTAAATCCTGTGAGTACGCTGGTGCAAAGTTATTGCGGAATGATTAATGTGAAACGTCAAAAGGTATTTCTTGGATATGGTGGACTATAGTGACACATCGTCTATTTTAAAACGGTATTCAAAGAAAAAGATACAGGTTTGCAAGAAGTACTAGATTCGCTGACAGAGACATCTTTGGTAAATAAATAAAACAAACAGGTCCTAGAAAAGATAGGAATTGAAGCAAGCGAACTTTTTTAGAGACAATTAAAAGTAACATTGGAAAACTGCCCAGAACTAAATATTTTATTTTATTCTTTTTGGAAATCTTACAGCTAATATTAACAGTAAAAAATCATTTATAACAACTAGAAGGCCATTTAAAAGTTTTCACCTATTAAATTTATGAACTCAAAAACAATAATTCTAGTCGGTACAAGACAAACATCGACTAAGACAAATACACTAAGTTAACAAAATTAAACAGAAGAGCTCTCAACAAAAAATTTTTTTCGCTAAAACATTTTTGATTCGAGAAAGACTGGTAATTGAACAAATCCAAGTCAACGCTATTGGATATGTCATTAAAAGTTCTACATGCCCGTATCATAAAAGTGTTTTGCCTGTATTTAGTCTAGGTATACGGCAGATGGAGTAAGCGAGGCTTTCTTAATTGGGGAACTCTTGTTGTAAATCCTAAATTAGTAGCTCCGGACAGTCAATATTACCATTTGTTATAAAAACAAATCATATCTGCTCTGCGCCTACGTTCGTACAAAGGCAAATTACGAAATTTTTTTTACACCGCGAAATGTAATTATCAGTGTAAAATTGCGTCTTAAATTGCAGAAAACGTAGAAAAGGCTTTTGTACTTGCTCAATCCTATCTATATAAATGAAAATAATATTCCCCAAAGTTAGTGTATTATGCTTAATTAATACTCACCAAAACCTTATCGCTATGTTAGTAAAAGTTTTTCCTATGCCTGATTGCATTCAAAAATATTCAAGATGTTTACTCCTTCACGCCACAACGACTGAACAGATTTGGATACTTTGAATTAACACAAGTTACATTGGTCCCGGAAAATAAATAACTATTTAATTTTCCGTTATCCACGTGGTCACAAGTCGAGGGTATCATTTAGATAACAAGTAAAATAAATAAATATATATTTAAATATAATAATTAAAAGAAGTTTTAGTATAGACGTATCTATAATTTAAATTTTTTTGTTGAATTTATTTAATCTAAGGACAAAAATTGTTCATTCACGCTTTTATTATAATAATAAGTATTCTTCTTTAGTTGAGTGTTTGACGATAAAGTTTAATGCTATGTTTACACGCGCGCGTTCAACTCGACATTCAACGTGCACATTCACATTCCCGAGCGTGTAAACGGTACGCCCGAGCCCGTAAACGCGCCTGTGAACGTGAATGCCGCGAACCGGGCGAGTGTCGGTTTTCAAAGTTCAAAGGATGAATGCATAGACTAATATATAATACTGGAGAGATGAATGTGCGGGCGCCCGGTGACTGTTCACGCGCGCGTGCAGTCAGTCTCTCTCGCGCTTTCGTGGCGAGTGGATCTTCAACGTTGCTAAAAAAGTTGCGACGATCGGATATTACAACATGGTGGAAGGGTCAAACGAGACAATTTTGACGTTCCTGGAATATTACCAGGAAGAAGAAATATTATGGAACCCCGAAGATAAATTCTGTAAGGACAAGAAAAAAATTCACGATGCATGGACGAAAATTGATAGAATACTAAATGTATCAATTAAGGATTTGAAAACAAAAAAGGAGACCCTAATGGGAACATTTAGGCGCCATCTGAAGAAAAAGCAAGATTCTATGCGATCTGGTGCAGGTACTTATGTTTACTTTACGTACAGTACTTACTTACGTAATACTTTAGGTCCCAGGTTTGATTCCCGTATGTGGTACAATATTTTAGTGATTAATCATATTTTTCAGGGAGTGACGAGATATATGAACCCATTTGGTTTGCATACCGGATAATGGAGTCCTTTCTGCTGCCTGTTTATACCAGTAGGGCTACACTCAACACAGAAGAGGTAAATAAATAATATTCGTATGTTTTAATCATATATTTAAATAAAGGTACTATTTATTAGCATTAGTAACTTAGTAGGTAGGTACATATTAGTTTAGTTTTGATACAAATAATTATTTTTTTTCCTGGCGGCACGGTACGCCGGAGGTCATGGGTTCGAGTCCCGCCTGTGTCATTCTATATTTCGGTTTTTTTTAAATATTAAAAAGAGATTACAAGTGCTATGCTTTTTTTTTTTTTTTTTTAATAGAATAGGGTGACAAACGAGCACACAGTCCACCTGATGGTAAGTGGTTGCTGCGGCCCATAGACATCTACATCTATCCTCCATTAAAAATCAAAATGCAGATGCGTTGTCACCCGTGAGGACTGAGATGGAATGCCTCGTTTCCAGTAAAAAGGGTCTCCGGTTCTCTACACTCACCATACGAAATACAGCAGCATTAAGCTACTATTTCACGCTGGTATTCTGTGAGAGCGTGGTCCTTCCACGGTCGAGCCGACCCATTCGTGCTATAACTATACTACTAATATAACTGTAGCATGGCTCTACCACGTACATGCCTAAAAACAAAGAAGTTATACATTAATATAATTTTAAACATTGTTAGTGGATACTCTAGTCCTATAAAAATATGAAGAAAATTCATCCCTGATTTCTCAAATTGCCGTCACCATCGTATTCGTCAAACGTTCCTGGAGGAGTATATCTTGCTGCAGAATTTTTACTGTTTCTGAGAAAATTGTGCAGCAGTACACATGTCATTGTCAATTGTGATATAATATCTGGATTCATATTAATTGGTCGTCGGAATATTCTAAATACTGCACTTAAGATTTCGAATGTGTTTTCCACCACAACTCGGGATCTGGACAGACATTTATTAAATATCCTTTTTTGTGATTCCGAATCATGATTGCCAGGGTATGGTTTCATTACATGTGTACTGAGTGCAAAAGCACCATCAACTATGAAGACATATGGCACATCAATATTTGATCCGGGAAGAGGACATGGTGTAGGTAGATCTAATTCGTTTCTACAGATTTTTTTCCATAACAATGAATTGTTGAATACACCACCATCACTTATTCTTCCTTGGCTTCCTATGTCGGCAAATATAAATTTATAATTGCTATCCACTAGTGCAACAATGCTAAAAGTCTTCTTATAGTTATAAAACTCGGTTTCACTGTGATAAGGGTTTTCTATTACGAAATGCTTGCCGTCTATTGATCCGATACAGTGTGGAAATTTTCATATAAATCCTTTTTCGATATATAACCAACCGTCTGCTGTTGTGGGCATCTGAAATAATAATAGCATAGATTAGCATTAAATTAATTAAAATACCTTTTTTACAGACAACATCAACGTCATCAGAATCGCGTGATTCACAAATACCAAAGCAACCTTTTGGAGATGAAACAATACCGGAAATACATGAAGCTATCCACAACGAAAGAACTGATAGCGAAGTGATGAAAACTTTACAATCACCAAGGACTCCAACCTCACAGATGCAGCCTACTCAAGAAAAAAATAACCATCGTCGCTCAGTACCTAATACAGCCGAGCAGCAAATTGCAACAGCATTCGGTCAATTGGCTAATGTTTTAGGACAACGTCAATCACATAGTGCAATTAAAGAAGATGATGACTGCGATCTCTACGCCAAGCTTTTGGCTAAAAAACTGAGAGAACTGTTCAAACACGAACGAAGTTTAATAATGTATGAAATAGATGGCATATTTATTAATAGAATTCAGTGCAGGCTACCTAGACGTGAAACACCATCTCCACTTTATTCAAACCCATATTCTAGACCACCGTCAGTATCGACTTCATGCAGATCACAGCCAGGGTTGAATATTCGTATGCGAAACCGACCTTCAAGTACTTTAAGCTCATATTCCGAACCAATTTCAAACATTTATGCATCAAATCAACCTGTTGAACCCTCAGATCAACCCACATATATTCAATGTGCAAACGACCTCTCAATACAAACCCCATCCTTTCAGTCTGCAAACGCACACTTAATCCAACCTTCATCCGACATTTATTCAGTCCAATCTCCATATTATGTTCAATCTGCAAACAAGTACTCAATCCAACCTGCACACACACAATCCGCAAATACGGACTCAATCCAGACTAAATCTAACATTATACAAATTGCATTAACAAATTCATTTGAAACATTTGGATCTAATGAAACAAGTGAACCATGAATGAACCTAATAATTGATTGTCATTGTTTTTGTTTGCCAAAAATTTTGTTGTCAGTGTCTGATTTTTGTATTTGATATCTTTATTTTCGTTTAGTAATTTGTGGTGATTTGTGTTTATTTTGTCAATAAAAACCTTAAAAATATAACTACCTTTACTTCATCTTTTAGAACTTCATTAAGAGCTCTAGAGACTTCCCGTATGATTCCTGATATAGATGCTTTGGAGACTTTAAACAGATAGTGTAGACTTCCGTAGCTATCACCAGATGCTAAAAATCTTAGCGTCATCACAAGAAGAAATTTTGCTGGAATATCTACTCTGAAATCTGTGTCTTGCTTAGAAATTATCGGTGAAATTTTACTCAGCAAAATTTCAAAATCAGTAAAGATCATTCGACAGAAATTATCAAACTCTCCAGACGGTTCATGCAAGAGCTCATCAAATTTTTGTTCTATGAACTTCCTGTAAACGAAAATATATATTATATAATTTAATATAAATGGGTACTTTTGTAAGCATTATATACCAGTGAATCACGATCGGAAAAAACATAGGTAGTTACTTGGTACGATTTCTGTGAACTCTTATTATCAACCACCTTCTTCTTTGCAGTCTTTTTTTTCCGTCGTTCATCACTTTGTTTCTTTTTCCAGTGAAAATAAGTTAAGCCAAAGGATATGGCAGCAACAACACCGAGATCCTCGCTACCCGCCATGCTGGCACTGACATGACGGCGTGCGTGTGAACAGCTTGAATTTTCGCCGGCCTGGGACGGGCTGCATGCCGCGCAGTCCACCAGGCAGCCCGCCGGGCTGCACGGCGTGCATGTGAACATAGCGTATTGCTTCTTCAATGAATAATAATGAAAAATGACACATCAATATGACAACATTTCCAATTAAACACTTGACCCTACAGTTGTCGCGTGGATTGCAATAGTAAACCACTGCAAAATTATCTCAAATTTGAATATTTCTGGAACCAAATGATGAAATGATAGAAAAAATATGTAAACTAATTTGTGATCTAACTTTGAAATTAATGTGACATTTTCATATATTAATATGTAAAAGTTTTTTTTTAAATATTATAATGTGAATAAAAAAGGACTTATAAATGGTTTTTGTTTGTTGAATATGGTTAATCGTTGAGTAAATGTTACACTGTTTCATATTTATAATAAAACAAAAATACATTTTAAATGATATTTTAAAATAATGATATTAATAGTTAATTTGCAACCATCCGCTCAATTAAATATAAAGATGTGTCTTACTTGGGTTGAAGAGCACATACCTCCCGTCCTCTCTCAATTGCGTGCACTAATCCACTAAATGATATTTTAAAGCTTTCTTCTAATTTTAAATTGGACTACATACGTAATCCATGCGACCATTTACGTTATTTTATAAGGTGTGACCACTGGCAGGGTTAAGTAGTCTCGTTACACTATTATTGTTTATATGTTGCTAATATAGACTACTCTCGTAAAGATTGCCGTTGTGCTTGCGTGTTCAAATTTAAACCTAATTTGTAACATCTAAGGGTTGAATTTAAAAAATAAATATAACTAATCTCGTGGGGAGTACGCTTGTCACATTTCAATTATCACTACGATGTTTATGAAATATTATGTTCTCGATTATGTTCTCGGTATAGTTCTCGATTATTACCTATGATATTATTTTAAATGGTTATAATAGTAAGAAAGCATATATCACAATAATATTACTTACATATGGAATGTAACTCCATCTTTTTGTAAATTTGAAGTAGTATACTTCTTTTTAATAAGTTAACCGCACAAGTCGGAATATTTTTAAGAGAACCTACAACGCCGGAAACGATTATTGTCATGACGAAATCGATTCCGTCAACAGTTTTTATAAACGCACAAGATTTTTAAATCCAATACTCATGCGTGGAATGGAATTATCATGCGAGGCGAGTCCATTGGGTTGAATGCACAAATTATAAAGTTTGGTTGAATGGTCTAAGGTTGAGTGACGCTAGCCATTGAGTCTAGACATTCTGCCAGCGAATAACGAGGACGATTTTCTGATTGCGATGCCATTTTTGCTGTATTATTGTTACTACATATCCTCTTATGACCCTAAGATTGCAATATTGACTATAATATGTAGAAAAGATCTATATATTCAGGGATTTTTTAAATTATGGATGTCTATAAACTTTTTCGACGATTTGTTCAACAAAATAAGATAAAAGGTTACGAAAAGATACACATATAATATTACATCTATAAACATACATAAACAAACCTACTCGCTTCGGTCATTCGACGTACACTGAGCGCGCTCCATACGGAATTTACAAATATCTGTTGCGACTCATACAAAATTAATGGAAGATTTGAGTTCAGAACACCTTTTTTTTCACGCGGGTTTCTAAACGAATAGGCAGTCATGCAGAAGTTCGAATCGGAGAAAATTACAAACGGAAAACTACTATACATGTGTGACGGGACCTTGATTTTATATGGACTTGCTGCTTTCGGAATCCTGAATTGATATTCCGGAATGGTTTTTCGAAACGCAATTCCATATGTATGTGGCCGGACCTAGAGATTTTTCGTTCATTATTGAAGTTTGTTCGTTATATAAAGATGGCTTAGTTTAGAGTGTAAATAAGCATACTATAGAGCGCGCGTCAGCAAGTTTGAATCGCATGGGTATGATCAGTCTCGAAATTGCAAGAGCAACTCTACATCCGTGTGCTGATTGATTCTTTCGCCGGTATTTATGATTATGATATTTCTTTTCATCAGTTAATAACAAGTAATCACGGATTTTAATAAAAATTAATCAGGAAATCATAGGGTGTTGCACATAAATATTTGTTATTACATGATTAATTTTGTAAAAATATAATCACAGTATTTAAAATTTTGTACGTGGTAGAGCCACGTTGCAGTTATATTATGGTCGTAGCATGAATGGGTCGGCTCAAAAGTGAAAGTGCAGTCGGGGAAGGACTGCTGCTGTGTTTCGTATGGTGAGTGTAAAGAATCGGAGACCCGTTTTACTGGATTCGAGGCATTCCATATTAGTCCTCAAGGGTGAAAATGCATCTGCATTTCGATTCTTAATCGAGGTTAAGTGTAGATGTCTATGGGCCACAGCAGCCACTAACCAACAGGTGGGCTGTGTGCTCGTTTGTCACCCTTATCCTATAAAAAATTTATGATTCAATGTATTACTAACCCATATAGATCAGTGTTTAAAATATAACTTATGCACAACTTTGTTATTATTGTTGCGCGCCATAGTTGATGCCTGTAAATGCCACTAGCACCATCTAGTATCCAGTTGCAGAAATAGGAATGTCAAGATATTTCTAGAACTCTCCCACTAGAGCTATCTAGTATCGAATAGAAGAACTAAGCTTTCTAGAAAACTCCACACTTGAATTGTCTACACCTAGTCGGTCGGGACTGGTATTTGGTGGAACATTCTAGATGTGTTGGCGGAAAAGCCCTATACAAAGCCGTTACGGGCTGCGACCACAGCAGTATTGAATTGTGTCGTTAAATATCAAAATCCGTTACGTCCGCTCTAAGTGAAACGGAGGAAATTGATGTTATATGTGTTTTAGTGTAAGATTTTATAATTTCTGCTGTTTTGTATAATCAGACTATTTTCTTAGGAATTTGCATATAATATAATTTAAAAAATTAATAAAGTAGTGACAGGATAAGCTAAAAAAGCGGGTTAAAGTTTGGACATGCCGCATTTTGATGTGTATGAAATAAGTATATCGTTGTTTGAAAAAAGTCGTACTGGACTTACTTAAGTTTGATCGACATCATTGTAAGAGGACGTATTCAGAGCAGCTCACTGATGGTATTTTAAAAAATACTTCAGTATATTTAATTTTATAAATGAAACAATGATTTCAAGTGAATCAAAATACATTATTTATTTAAATAAATTCTAAAACTTCTTCCATTTCATAATCTTGCGAATTATTTATTATTTCGTCTTCTCTCTCTTCTCAGTTAGGCCAACATTGTTTAGTAAAATACTTTTATAAAATTGAATTTCGAGTATCTGACCCCATTGAAGTCCATAATGGCATTATTACAGATACAAGTAAACATGTAAATCTTGTGTTACATGTATAAGTAAAAATTAACATTTTCAATGAAATTTTATTTAGGTATAGGTATATGTAAGTAAGAAAACCACAAGAAGCGTATTTCTGATTAATGATTAATTAGATGTGTTATGCAATTATTATTCACACCCTGTTTTTAAACCTTGAACTTACGTTTTTACTGCATAATCCTTTCCGCCGTTACGCTAAAATAAAGGTTATTTTATATTATTTATAAAATTTTAAATTATCATTAAGTACTCAATAAAACGATAGTATAAATATTCAAGCTGAGTACGACCCTGTAGTACAAAGTCGGTTACAATACAATTAAACCTATCTAGGTACAGTGTTGGTGTTTCATTTACCTTTTTGCTTTTTCCCCGTCCGTTTCTGTCTAGATATTTACATAGTCTTTTTCCTTGCCTTATCTGGTTCCACCACATTTAGACATAAACTGTTTTCACTCATTTTGTTCAGAATAATTAAATAAAAACTACGGGGACAAAGTGTTTTGCTTCCGATAACTCATGCGAATAGCAGCCATATCTGCGCTATACTCTGCTCTGATTGGCCGGTGCGGACATGCTTGATATTGATAAACACTTGTCAAAGGACTTACCGGGATATGAAAAAAATCGTCGGTTTTGACCGTTATTTTCATAGAGTTTTAATTGACTTACCTCATTTCGGTGAAAACGAACTTATAAAGATTTAAATTTTAAATTTGGCGCCATTAATAGTTTAATTTTGAGTAGTGGTGGGACTTACCGGATTTCGATATTTAACGACACAATTGGCGACAGACGCGAAGACTTCGGAGCGAAATAATGTGAATTAATGTGTTAAGTGTGATTAATTATTAGTGCGTTTTAAGTTTTAATTGCGGTCGGTAATTAAAGTGTCAATTTTGGTAATTCAATTGGTAGGTCTTATTGTCACGAACCCTAAGCTCGTAAAATTATTATTCTTATTTTTTAAAAATCGTTTTCTCTACACTACGATTTTCTCGTGTATCGTGGGGGCAGTTTACATACATAAATTTTACAAGGAGAAACATCCAGACCCGGAACAATTCTATATATAGTAGGCCATACAAATACTTCTTTCATGCGGGATTTAAACTTGCAGCTCTTAGCGCTGCAATTCATTGCTAAGCCACTGCACCTCGGAGCCATCTTATAGGTACATAATTAAGTTAAATACTTATCTAGTTTCAGAAAAGCCGTGAATTGATTAATGAATGTGTGGTTACAATAAAAAGGCCCAACCAGTTTATTTTGTTCCATCCATTTTAGTGCTTCGTTCATTTCTAAACCAAAGGTGGACAGTGCCACCTGGTTGTAGATGCAATATCAAAGCTTATATTTGAAGTAAGATTACATTTATTTTAAAGTATTAAAAAACTAGCTTCGGTAGTTATTTATGTGGGCACCTATACGTAATTACGTGTATATGTTCACGATTTTTTTATACTAATGGGTGTCATTCAAAAATAGTTTGACATTATAGGGGCTACACATGATCATTTTTAACTGTTAGCTTTGACTGACCAGTTTTAGCTGATAGTGAAAACTGAGTGTGTGGACGATGAAAACTCTCAGTTTCTTTAATTATCAGTTCAAATTGATGATACATTGTTGACACATATTTTTAACTGAAATGACGGAACTGATCAATTAAAGCTGTGCGTGTGTAGCCGGTGGTTCCTCAGTCGTGTTGCGATCCTCGTTCGTTTTTGTCCTCTTCGCGTACGCAGAAGAATGAAGCAAAGACAATGGTTGGTCGAGTTTATAGAATTATAAAGAAATTAACCTTTTTTTAAACGCTCTCAGAAATGAGCGGAGGCCTGTACCCAGCAGTGGGATGTGTATAGGCTGTAACTTTACTTTACTTTAACCTTTTTATATAGGATAGAGTGACAAACAGGCACACAGTCCACCTGATAGTAAGTGGTTGCTGTGACCCATAGAAATCTACATATATCCTCGATTACGAATCAAAATGCAGATACGTTGTCACCCGTGAGGACAAAGATTGAATGCCTCGTTTCCAGTAAAAAGGAATTATGGTTCTCTACACTAACCATACGAAACACTGCAGCATTAAGGTACTATTTTACGCTATTAATAAATATTTAAGCGATACGTGCACTTTATAGCATTGATGTTACAGAGAAGAGGAACAATCGCTACGTGCTAAAGCACAGCCCGCCTGTTCCTAAACTGCCGTCGGTAAGTAGTATCTGCGAAGTAAAGTGTTTATGAGTACATGTAGATGAAGTTAGTTGAATAATGTACAGATTTTCTTCGCGGCATTGGTGAGAAAATAATCGTGCTCCATATTTTTTTGATTTTTGATAAAAAGGAACTTTAAGAAATGGCGAAATATTGTATTGTGTGCGGATGTGCAAGCGGTTTAGCATCTGATTGGAAAAATAGACTGAAAATGACTTTTATTGAGACAGCTTAGCGATCGCAGCGCCTCACTTTTTTGTCCGTATTTCTCGGACACTATTTTCTACAGAGATCTTTCTCCTTCTCTATAACCTCCATGCTTTATAGTTTTCCGCATACTCTAAGCTAAGTAGCCTGTGAGTGCGATAGAAAACTATCGCGATCTATCGGTAGATTTTTATAATCCGAACAATCGATTTAAACATCTCGGACTCGCCCTTTGTTGGTGTCATACGCATAAGAACAAGTACAGAGAACAAGAACGTTGCAATCTTTCGTACCTAGTAACAAACATTATTTCAAAACTATATTTTAAGTTATAAAATTTTTAATCTATGGCCCTATTATTGCGGCTATGGAGTATAGAGGTAAGGAGAACAATCTCTCATAGGAGAATAGTTGAAAAAGTGTCCATCTGTAAGCAATAAATAACAGTTCAAAAACTCCCCACAACAGCGCCGGAGTAGCTACAGGAAACAGCTATATGAAATGAACTTAGCAGTTGTCGACGGTGTGAAGTGTGCTGCTAAACTGCTCAGTAGCTCTAACTTATCTTCACGCACAATCCTTAACGGGGTAGCCAGAGAGAACAGATCGCCAAGTGTCACGATCCTTACATACCTCTTTCGCTTCTTTCAGGTTCATTAACTTCTTCATACATGCACGTCTAGGTATCCGACCTTCCCCTCTTCGAGCAATTTGCTCACACGGTCTGCGAAAGTTAGTCTCGGTCTACTTCGACACCTTTTAATATTTACTTTCGCTCTATATATTTTCTTCACCATTCGGTCTTCACTCATTCGCTCAACGTGTCCAAACCATTGGAGTACGCCCCTATTAATTTTTGTGATAAGGTCATCTTTCAATCCTGCCATATTGCGAATCTCTTCGTTTCGCTTTCGATCGGATATGGTAACGCAACTATACGGTATTTTACGAAGAGATCGCATCTCCACTGCATTCAACTTGCTTTTATGCTTCTTCTGGCATACCCAGTATGCTCAGTAGCTCTAAAATCTAATATAATTATATTTAGTAATAAGGTAATTTAGTAAAAAGTCGTCTATCCCACTAATGTTTTCGGCGCGTTCTTTAAAATTTACCCCGTAGCTATAGTGGTGCCACTCTTATTTAACGGTTTTCTATGGACACTTTTTAATACACAGTCTGTATTCCTTACCTCTACACTCCATAATTGCGGCTATGAAGTGTAGAGGTAAGGAGTACAGACTCTAAAAAGTGTACGTAGGAAAGCGCTAAATAAGTGGCGCTACTGTAGCTATAGTCTCAGTTTTAAAGCACTTTTAATATTTTTTTTTACTGCACTGACTGTCGCCATAATTCTTTTTACAATAATTATTTTAACGCTTCCAAAATTTTTATTTTCAAAGTCCCTCTCAACGTATTTTGCGGCGGTTTATCATTCTCTGTAGCTACTCGAGCGCTATTGTGGAGAGTTTTTGAACCGTTATTTACTGCTTACAGAAGGACACATTTTCAACCATTCTACTATAGTCAGTAATCTATGCATTCTACTATGTGAGTTGGTACTCCTTGCTCTAAGGTACTCCTTACTTTTACACTCCATACACAGACTATAACTAGTGCATTCTACCGAATCATTATTATTAGCATTCTCTGTCTACGATTATTTTTTATGATTATAGTTGCGGCATCCTGCCGTACTCTGTGATACTGCCGCATTCAGAGACTATACCACAAACTAATAAGAGGACTATACTCATAGAGGAAAGTAATATATCGTACAACTGTACTTAAGCCGTCACTAAGTAGTAAAGATTTAAAAAAGTTGACTCTCAGAGTGAGTTAATGGTTCATTAGTAGGTCTAAGGAACCGTTAACTTTAAGTAACGCTCAACCCTTACTTAACTTCGTAATGAATGATTTTGAAAGGTCAATTTGTGAGGTTATGTGTGTCATTGCGTGGTTATTTTCTAGGATTTGTTTATTGTGATCAAATTGGGATATTTTGAGAAAATGTCAGATTATTAAGAGTTTGTTGATTTTGTGGAATACGCAAGAAGATTTAGGGAACCAGGACCAAGACGTTATTTGCGTGATTATTCGGATCCATTTCAGAAATATACTGTTCAAGAATTTTACTCACGATATCGCTTTACCCCCCAAGCAATAAAAAATACCATAATGCCAATGCTAGAACCACATTTAAAAACCTAGCAGCAAAGGTCTGCCGTTTGCTCCAGAAATAATGATCCTCGTTACGTTGAGATACTATGCTACTGGGAGTTTTCAAGTAAGTAAAATACTGTGTACTATAGACCTTTAATATTAGGTACCTCTTATAAATTATTGCTGCACATGCACAACCCGATCACAATATCTGCAAACCTCACTGTAAAGTGATGTTATAGCAAGGTACACAGGATACTGTGACTGAATTAAATAAATCTATCACTTATACAAGTAGGTACTTACCTGGTTTCATATTTTTTCAGAAACTAGATGGGGATGTCATGAATATATGCCAACAGTCAGTATCAAGAATTATAACTACTGTGTCTAATTCAATAGCACTACAAATGAAAATGTTTGTAAAATTTCCATCTACAGTGGAAGATATCAATCAAGTAAAGTATGTTCATGATTTAAACATGCTAATAGACATTAATAAATATTCTACATTCAATATACTTTTAATAGTAACATACTAAACATCTGAATATTTCTTGCAGACAAAAGTTTTTTGAAGTGGCACAATTTCCTGGAGTGATAGGATGTATTGACTGTACACATATTAAAATAAGAAGTCCTGGTGGAATGTCTTCTGAAGTGTATAGAAACAGAAAGGGTTTTTTTTCAATCAATGTACAGGCAGCACACATGACAGCGACAGCTTTATATATAATAGCAGTTCTGTCAAACAAAGGTTAAACGTTGGAAATTTACAAGGACAGGGTATGCTACTTGGAGACAGTGGATATGCAGTTAGCAGTGTGTTGTTAATACCATTTTTGTCACCTAATAGTATTGGACAAGAACTGTATAATAAGTCATATTAAAACACGGAATACTGTTGAGAGGACCTTTGGAATTTGGAAATGGAGGTTTCCTTGTCTCCAGATGGGAATGGGGATCAAAAAGGAAACTGTTGTGGCAGTGATATGTGCATGTGCCACACCGCACAATATATCAACAATGTTAGACGATGTCATGATGCCTTCTACTGATGACAATATATGTATTTATCAGTAACATTGATAATGTTCCTGTACAAGAAAACCCCAACAGTAATGGTTTTTTGGTCAGACAATCTGTTGTCAATAGATTTTTTTCTCAATAGTAAAAAAAAATTAAACAAGGTTAAAATAAAACGTAATTTAACTAATCACTTGTTTTATTTTGTAAACTGTTTTTTTAAATCTTCAATTCTAATGTAGCTTTTTCCAAAAGAATTTTATTTGTCTGTAATTCTAGTTCTGCTGCCTGTTGTTTGATTTATTGAGTAGCCAACTGTAAAAGAAAATAATACATATTAGTTTATAGTTAGTTATTGAAACTACTTATTACAGTTATGTTATTTTTATAGAATGGGTGTGAACAAAAAACAAACACGCACACAGTCTACCTGATGGTTAGTGGATGCTGTGGCCTATAAACATTTACATTGAAATTTAAAAAAGAAAATAATCTAAAATAAAACTAACAAACTAAAATAATAACCCAATGTGAGTTTGCTGTACGTTAGCAATGTTTTCAAAAAGCTGATTTTAGAGTAGCTAGTAAATTATTATATATAATGTATTAAAAAAAAAACTTTGAATATAATATCTTTGCCTCCAATCGTTTTTTTACTTCCAAATTTTTTATTCTTAAAACACCTTCTCTTCTTATATAATCGGCAGGCTTTCGAGGAACACAATCAGTTGGGCTAAATGGAACATTTTGTTCATCATGAGTTCTTGATGAAAAAATATATATTAAAACATGTAAAATACACACAAACAGTATTTTACATATTACCTATAGAAATGAAGTTTTTTCTTTATATGTATTACCTGTGTTATTTATAACTTGAATTGGAAATTCAGTGGTGAGCGTTTTTTCAGACTCTGCAAGATGATATTTATCTTTTTCATTGTCAAACAAAGGTTTAGATGATTTGGCTCATATTTTTTTTTAATAATATAAAGTTATAATTTAACATAACATACCTATTTTGCAATCACTGGATTTCACTTCCTCCTCTTCAAGTGAACTTAATAGGCATCCATCACTATCAAATGAATTTTTCACTTCACACATTATAACAGGTGCTGCCTAAAAAAATAAAGTTATTAAAAAAGCTGCTTCAGCTTTATATTAAAAACAAAATTTATAATTATACCTACTTCTTCTACCATGCTTATAATGGCTCCTTGGTGCGGTGGCAGAGTAGGTTTTACGGGTCCCCCTCCAGTTTTAAATAAACTACCAAGTTCAGCTGCACGAGCTTTACGTGTAAAAGCCTTCATGTTATCCCATGCCCTCTTTAAATTAATGGTATCACGCTGGAAGTATAAGAAAAGTACAAGAGCATAACAAGTAAAAAAAAAACACTTCATAATAGTAATTTATAGCTTAAAGCTTAGCCAATAGCTTATAAAATGATAAAAGAAAGTGTAAGTTTATGCACCTTATAAACATAAGCTTGGCAATTAAACTCTTGCGTTATGGACTCCCATGCAGTTTTCTTTTTATCAACTAACTTGCCGTCAGTTGCTTTCGACTCCACAATTGGTTTACTCTTTATTAGGGCTGCTAACAAGGCCTTTTCATCGCTGGTGAAATTAGGCACTCTTGAGCGTGGTGTTTTCGGCTCTTTAAAATAAAACGCACATTAATTTTAATGCTTAATCTCGTCTGGTATAAAAAGCGTAATTTAGTACCTAGTGGAACTACTTACCATATTTTTCTTGTCACTTGTTATTTATCCAAAATATATGTTGGATATGGTGTGCGGGTTCCGTTGAAATAACAGGTAGGGATCACCGAATACACCACGAGAATCCGATGCTACTAGTACGACGAATTAATAACAACTAAACTAGGAGTAGTCTCCGCTAGAAGTAAAAGTATTCTGTGAACTAAACACGATACAAAACAATAATTTACACAAAGCTCTGAGGTATATATTACTATACACTTTGGCTCTTGATAAGATAGAGGGTATGTTCCGAAATACAACACAGTGTACTGTCCAATGCAAATGACGTATCATTTGACACTTTATTGTACTAGCGTGCCGCCGCCATATTGTGTCGGATATCCGGCCATAATAAAACAATTTTTAATTGTGTGTTTGCCGAATGAAGCATGCCAGAATTTGTTTCTATTTATTCAAATACAAAAAATTATAGAATAATTGATGGTATAGCCATTAGGAGGATATAATGATTTTTGGAGCACAAAATGACAAAATAATCGCCAACACTTTTCCAAATGGCGCAAAAGTATGACGTCATATACTGTCCAATGTTTTGGAACGAATCACCAGTATAGCGTCGATTCATGACGTCATTTGCATTGGACAGTACACAGCGTTGTATTTCGGAACATACCCAGAATAGAAAGTTAACATGGGTTTAACCTTAGAGCATACATTACATGTAATGTATGCTCTAAGGGTTTAACAATGACATTCACTCCTGACATCTGACTGGCATCTGGTGTCGATTGCCACAATAAAAAATAAATTTGTAATTTCTCTTATTACGGTGCTGTGTACGGTTTAAAAATACTTTTTACTGTTATATGTTGGAAAAAATCACACTGAAGTGTTTACGTATTAATATGTTTGTACTGAATAAAGACGAAAAGCTATTATTTCCGGAAAGCAATTTATTTACATAGCAACCCTTACGACTTATCGATATTGCTTAGCATGGCCACATGTTGTGTCCTTAAGTTACTCATTAGCTAATGAATCATTAAATTTAGTCTCTGGGACGTATCACTCATTAACGAAGATAATGGTAATTTGTTAATTATTCGTTAGGGTGTATTTAATGAAGCTCTCTGAGTGCAGCAGATAGAATGGAATATGTAGTGATGTTGCAGAAACACCGATATTGGTATCCAATCTTAACATCGATGTTCGATGTTAATCCTACTCAAAACATCGATGTTGGCCATTATCGGTGTTTTTGCACATACCATAAAAAATTGGTAATGTTGTTTATAGTTTCTTATTAATGAAATAAAAGAAATTAATAAAAAAAACTAGTGTCAAACAATAATTAAAAAATCGGAAGAAGTTAACAAATATCTAGTTCATTTGTTATATTTTTTGCCGATGATGATGAATGTTATTATTTTGATATTTAAATATTCCTATACACTCATAAATCCAGTATGAAAATTTAACTATGGGTCCTAATTTACGATTTTATCGTAGGTTTTATATCAACTAATCTCAAAATTAACAAACTACACAAAAACGAAAGATAGACTTTTCCGTCACATTTATTCACAATTTTTAATCAGGCAGCCCAAGCAGTAAGTTTCCACAGCCATTTATAAAATGCACAGTCAAATGCACTCTGCAATGAAGGAGATGCAAGATTTAGTTGATATTGATTTCGCGGGTTTACAAGTTCTTATTTATCGATTATGTGTTCATTGACTTCGATGTTTCGATGTTTGACATGTGAAAAACATCAATGTTAAAACAGCGATGTTTTCGTAGACAGAGAGTGCTAGGATTCTCTGTCTACGGGTGTTTTAGTTTTTAACAACGATGATCATTGAACATCCCTAATCAATACTACTCAGGTATCGATACTTTTTGCGAATCCCTATGTCCCTAACTAGGAACTAGGATATTAAACTGGATATTAACAGAGGGCGAGTACTTTATCAGAAATATAATATATAGGGTATGTTCCGAAATACAACACAGTGTACTGTCCAATGCAAATGACGTATCATTTGACACTTTATTGTACTAGCGTGCCGCCGCCATATTGTGTCGGATATCCGGCCATAATAAAACAATTTTTAATTGTGTGTTTGCCGAATGAAGCATGCCAGAATTTTTTTCTATTTATTCAAATACAAAAAATTATGGAATAATTGATGGTATATCCATTAGGTGGATATAATGATTTTTTGAGCACAAAATGACAAAATAATCGCCAACACTTTTCCAAATGGCGCCAAAGTATGACGTCATATACTGTCCAATGTTTTGGAACGAATCACCATATAGCTTCGATTCATGACGTCATTTGCATTGGACAGTACACAGCGTTGTATTTCGGAACATACCCATAATATACTGATAACTACCATAAAACTTAATTATACCAATATCGTTAATTAAAGTTATTGTTACATTAATATATAATATACTGTATTGTAAACAAAAAAACATCAAGAATACAGGACTTCGTTTTCGCATATTGTTGCATGTTACATTGGTGTCGTTATCAAACAAACATGCCTAAACGAGGTGGTGGACGCATGAGAAATTGGAAAGCTGATAATGATCATTTTGGTAATTATAGAGTAATATATTTATTGAATATCTATTTTTCTCGATGTGTCGCATTTTCAATAAAACATGTTGACATTTCGTCAAAAATGCATTCTTGATTCTTACATCTTTAGCGTTAGCAGATAGAGGGCAAACGTGGCGAATATGTAACGCAGTAATCGCTTTTTCTAGTATCCATTTCGCGTAGTGGACCTGTCAGAACTGTACACGAGATACGAATCAAATCCATGCAGGATGGACGTCGGACGTGTATGAGTAGTGTTTTGCACCCAATAAAGAATTTGCTATTGACCTGATGGTAATTGCCTATTGGAGCCCATAGACATTTGCAACTAACTTCAAAGTAAGAAGGTTATGGATCTGTTGCTACCTCTGAAGACTAAGATAGAATTGCTCACAGCCTGTAATAATTCAACTGACTCGCTATACACTCTAAGCTTTAGAAATAGATAACAGGGTGGTTGGTCGTTTCATCTTTAGGATAAGCCCCGCCCCTTCCCTCCCTGCTGGACGTGCTTAGTTATTTTTTATAAATTTTTAAAAATCTCTTTTTAAGGTTATGTTTTTGTAATGTTTTTGACTATAGTTCGTACCAAATCGATTGAGAAAAAGTGGACATTGACCTTTCGGTTGTTTAACCAGGGCTAAAAACCTTCAATATATAGGCACTTTTTATATGTAGTATTTTCTTTATTTATAATGATTTTTATTATTATTTTTCTTATAATGATTAATATATATTTATTAACTATTACTAAAAACGTATGTAAAAGATCGCAGTAGAAGAAAAGTCATCTATTGTTATAAAGTACTTTAATCATTTAACAACAAAAAGCATTAATTTATAACACATATAAATATTCGAGTGATAACGACACCAATTAAGTATGTACTTATTCAAATGATAAGACCTTATTTTCAATATTATATAAAAACTTTATTTTTGTTCGGTGCATGCGGGCTGGCCCAAAAAAAGTGACGCATCTCTGGCTGCCATTGTCATGTTTCTTTTGGAACAAACTGATGTAATGTATATTTTGTTTATTTTAAAGGGATGAATTTGCAAAAGCTCAATATGGTGATTATATTGCTTCAAATATTCTTTTCACTAAACAGACTGCAGAAAATAGGTCAATATTTAGATACTTGTTGCAGATGCAAGACTTTGATTTGCTTTCATTTCTTTACCGAGTGTGACCCACTAATCAGTTATGCTAGTTAATGTTTGTTTCTTTTGCTAGTTTATGCACTTCTGTGAATCTGTTTTGGATTCTCAGCTGTGTGCTAAAGGTGTTAAATGAAGCATGTTTAAAGTTTTTATTATTGGTATAATTCTATTTCTTCAATTAAGTACATTGCATAAGTAAATTATGGTTATGTTCAATGGTAAGGTAAATTTTATTGAAATAAGTATTGATTTCTTTTATAGAACATGATGACCGCGCCACTAATCCCAGACGAGTCAGCTTTAAGCCTGGTACAAATAAAGGCAAGAATAAATTTAATGCATGGAAAAACACTGCTAAGCTATTGCTTGATGATGATGTTGATATGGGGGCTTCTGGAGGACAAGGGCCTAGAAAGCCCTATAGAGGTCGTGGAGGACGTCTTGGATCACCAGCACCAAGATCTGGTTATGGAATTACAAAGAAGAAGTTTGTTGCGGGGATGTTACCATGGTATCAGATCATTATCCCTTATGGGGCAAAACATGATAAAGATGTCGTACTGAGAGCCCTTTTAGATCACATTTCACCAGAAATCTTTATACCACATTACTATAAAATAAATGGTAATGCTGCAGTATTTTATGTGGATGATGTTAAAATTGCTGAGAAGCTGTTTCATGCTGATCGAAAAATTATAATGTCAGATGGCTTTAAGTTAGTTGTAATAGTGAGAAATACTGTTCCAAATGTGAATGTAGATGCTGATATGAAAGAAAAAATGAAGTTAGTAATGGCAAAAAGGTATAATGCTGCTACGAAAGCTTTGGATTTAACTAAATTTCATGCAGATCCAGGTATACACTTATTTATATTTTCTATTCTACATCATAATAATTAAATAAATACATTGTACAGTTAATATTGATTATAACAACGATGAAGAAGGAGGTGTCCCTCCTTCATGGTTGTTACTACTATGTGTGCTTTAACCAGTAGTTATAAACAATAACCTTACAAGTTTGTAATATTTTTTGTAATGTATATCTATTTCTGTTTAAATGGACTTATATGCAAATAAAAATAATTTGTGTTATTGTTTATATTGGAATTTGGTTTGGACCCAGCTATTGCATCACAATAACCAATCTACAGTTGTAAGCTATGTCTTTTTAATGATTGTATTATATTTTAGCAATACATTTAAGTTCATTTGTTATTTATTGGTGGGGAGAATTCATAACACCATTTCAGACATTGTATGAAACAACTATGAACCCCTTTTCATATATATATATCAGAGAAATGGAAAGAATTAAAACATTTGTAATAATTTGTTGTGTTTTATACTTCATCTTATGTATATATATATATATATATATATATATATATATATATATATATATATATATAATGTGTATATATATATATATATATATATTTATATATATATATTGTATGTCTTTACACTCATTATAAGTCATGTGACTTTGTGTTTATGTGGTCTAAATCAGATCTTATCTATACGGACTGGACGACCTTTTTTACCATCTAAAAGAAAATAGGGTGTAACATGTGAATAGAGTAGAAGTAAGTACTATGGCATTGATATTTTACAAAAAATAAAAACAATAATTTTGAATTAAATAAGTAAGTTGAAATCTATTGAAATTGAAATCATATCCACCCTAGCCTGTGACCCTGCGAAATGACAAGGTCAAAGATGCCTACTAAATTTATTGTTTTATTGCCATTTGTAAAGTAGGGTGGATATGACTTGAATTTCAAAAGATTTTAGGCAGCCGATTTTGTTTGAGCAGCCTTGTAAAAATCTATTTTACTAAATACACTTTGAGTTGAGCTGACTCACTCTCACTCCGGGCTTGGCCGCCTTTGTGAGTGGATTACTGTATTGTTTGTTTACTTGTGAAGAAAAATATCGATCGCTGTAGAAATTCAAAATATTTAAAAAAAATTACATTTGATACATACTTGACCAAGGTAAGATATTTGTTATTTTTATAATCACAGATTTTTTTTACTATATATTGTCTCGCTAAAAGTATGTAGGATTTAAATATACTTATACATCTTGGACTTTATGGAGTGACCTGAAGGTGTACTTCAGTATCTGCTACTGGAAACCCTCAATGAGTGGAACTAGGTGTGCTGAGATTTCGGCGGCTAGTCGGTACAACTCTAATCATTAGTCAAAGATTATAAGGGTTCTGTCAATCATTTGTTCTGGATTATTCATTAGAAATGGTTGCAAAGAAGCTTTTACGGGAAAAAAGAACTTACGTGACTTGGATCGACACTGCATCTTTCGTATTTGACATAACATGTCTAGAAGGAGGCTAGGGTGAAAGGGATCACAAAAATATAATTGGATGTGACAAGGTGCGGGAAGGGATTATAAAAATGTGAACTATTTTTTCTATATTATAGTATATGCTTATTAACCTGTAACTAGATATTAAAACAAACATTTTGATATTTTTGCTTGCAGATTTGTCTGAGATTTTCTGTGCCTTGTTCCGGCCAGTTATCATGCTTGCAGCCATTGATATCATTGCCGAAAACATACCAGACCTTGAAGCCTTAAATCTTAATGACAATAAATTGCATGGTCTTGAGCATCTGAAAATACTATCTACGAAATTAAAAAGTTTGAAGATTTTGTATTTGGGAGACAACAGGGTATGTTTTTTTTATGTGGTAGAGCCATGCTGCAGTTATATTTTTAGTATAGTTGTAGCACGAATGGGTCGGCTCGACCGGGGAGGGACCACGCTCTCACAGAATACCAGCGTCAAATAGTAGCTTAATGCTGCTATGTTTCGTATGGTGAGTGTAGAGAACCAGAGACCCTTTTTACTGGAAATGAGGCATTTCACCTAAGTCCTCGCGGATGACAACGCATCTGCATTTTGATTCGTAATCGAGGATAGATGTAGATACCTATGGGCCACAGCAACCACTTACCATCAACTGGACTGTGTGCTCGTTTATCATCCTATCCTATATATATGAAAAAAATGTTATGCATTTCTTGTATTTATAAAATATTAGCTTACTTTAATTATAAATTGACTTTAATTTGTATGTGGTAGAGCCATGCTGCAGCTATTATGGTGGTAGCATGAATGGGTGGGCTTGACGGGGAAGGATCACACTCTCACAGAATACCAGCGTAAAATAGTAGCTTAATGCTGCTGTGTTTTGTATGGTTAATGTAGAGAACCGGAGACCCTTTTTACTGGAAATGAGGCATTCCATCTTAGTCCTCACAGGTGACAACGCATTTGCATTTTGATTCGTAACCGAGGATACATTTAGGTGTCAATGGGCGACACCAACATCAGGTGGACTGGGTGCTCGTTCGTCACCCTATCTTATAAATCAGCCTATAAAAGTCCACTTTTGGGTTTGGGTATCTATATCCTGGGTAAGGAGGATTTGCCCAAATAGCTATGCTTAGCCGAGAAGGATTGGTGACCAGTCGTCTCGCACCTTTGACACTGCGCCATGTCGCTAATCTGAATATTTTAGTACTGGTATAATTGAGATTAGATATTCATTAATTTTTTTTTAAATTACTTAGATATTCTTTAAATTTTCAGATACCATTTCTTGGATCTCTGGACCCGCTGAAGTCTCTGCCACTGGTGGAGTTATACCTCAAAGGCAACCCATTGCTGAACAGGTTTAATGATCACGATATTTACATCAGGTAATATTTATTAGATGCAGTTAGTTTTATCTAAAGCTCCAAGAGTTGGAAGCCTTGGAGTACTAAAAGTTTGTTAGATGTTGGGAGTCACTAAATTCCCAGCTATCATGGTAAAATTTGGAAAACATTTGTAATGGTTCATTTTTTCATAATATAATAATATAAAATATATATATAAACACTCACGCCTGTCACCCAGAGGAGTAGGCAGAGACTACGGACTTCCATTTGGCACGATCCTGACATACCTCTTTCGCCTCCTTTACTTCCATATATCTACGCATACATGCTCGTCGGTTAAGGGTACTTCTAACGTGGCCCATTTTCAAAATATCGCCAATTTGGTCAATAAACTTTTTTCCCGACTCTGCCGTTCACATCTGCCATATAAATTTGCTTTGTCACTCTTTCCTCATTCATTCTTTCTACATGACCAAACCACCGAAGCATTCCTTTCTTAATCCTGGTCACAACATCATCTTGCATACCATATTTATCTCTTATCACACAATTTCTCACCCTGTCATTCAGATTCAACCCTAGCATACTCCTTAAAGACCGCATTTCTACAGCATTTTTTTATTTATTCTACTTTCGTGCTTCTTCTGCCACACCCAGCTTTCACTACCATACATTAAAGTAGGGACTAACACAGAATTATGAATTACCATACGTGCCTTTTTTGACACATTCTGGTTCTTCATAATAGAGTGTAGTGCCCCATTCACTCTATTCCCTGCATTTACTCGTCGTTCTATATCCTTATCATATCTACCATCCCTGCTAAATACACATCCCAAATACACAAACTCATCCACTTGCTCAATTAACTCTCCTTCTATTCTTATTTGACATACTGTTTTGCTTTCTTCTCTTTCAAAAACCATCACTTTCGTCTTACTTGCGTTCACTTTCATTCCCCTTTCTTTTAATGCCCAGTTCATTAATGTAACCATCATTTGCAACTCAGCCGCCGATGACGCAAATATGACTTGATCATCGGCATACAAAAGGCATTTTACGGTTAACTCGCCCATTCTTAACCCACATTCTTCATCTTTCAAAGTTTGCAAACAGCTGTCCATAAATAGGTTGAACAGCCAAGGGGGAGCTACACAGCTCTGTCTGACACCTTTTTGGATGCCAAACCAGTCTGAGTAGACCCCATTGATCCTGTCACAAGCACTAGAGTCCCTATAAAGAGACCTTAATGCCTGTATCAAACCAGCGATCAACCCATATGAGTTCAGTGTTTGCCATAACACATTCCTGTCCACTCTGTCATAAGCCTTTTCCAAGTCCATGAACGCACAAAAAACTTTCTGGTTTTTGGCCAAAATCTTCATTCATTTTTTCATCTGGCACAAATTATTTGGGAAAATAATGTTTGTTATCAATAATTAAACAAAAATAAAATATGAATAGTAAATTTGAAGAAAATCCCATTTATTCATTATTTACAATTCAACACTCAGGTGTAGAGCAGAACCCTATAAAAGTTGCTAACTATTAAGGAAAAAAAAATATAATTTTATAAATAGAACTGCTAACCTATGTAATGATATTTCAATTAATATTATATCTTAATATATTTACCATGTGGTGGCAGCGTCTCCATCGCCCCATTTCATAGGTCGCAAGAGGCAACTATGACAAATGTCATAAAGAACTTATAACCTTTATAATGGTTTCGTCTAATTTTCATCAACATGTATAACTTTCAGTTTTTATACATTTTGTAAAACACATTTCAAATTTCTCATTGTAGGAAGTCGATCTGAGTGTAATGATAATATGATGGCGTTTTATGTCCATAATTATTGTGTATTAGTTTGATTCCAAATTTGAAACACTAAATGAAATGTACTTTTAGTGAAGTTATATTGTAATTATACGAGATACTTAGTCTGAGATATATTCACTATTTCATTCTACAACATTTGGTCTGGGTTTCTGCGATTGGTAAAAAGTGAAAAAATAAAACAGTGGTAAATGACAAACTGCCAATCAATTAACTTCAAAATACACATTTAATTTTATAAACTAAAAGAATATTCCAACATCAACTTCAGGATAATATAACATAATATGTTAGTGATACTCTTAGTCCAAGATACATTCAATTTGTAGATGTTTAGAAATGAAGTCCAAAGTAAAATAATTAGTCAATTTCAAAACAAACATTTATTTTGAAATACAGGTTTTAATAATTACAGTTATCCCACATTTACATTACAAGTTGACTTTGAAAACAATAATTATGATTTTCTTTTATTGAAGGTCTATTATAATTTTTTGCAAATACATTGGACCCTGCCGACCATCTTGCGGTTATAAAAACTGTATTTAAAGCCTACGCTTTTTCTAATAAAATAAGGGAAGAAAGTGAATGCATGTCTAATAAAATAAGTTGTAAATTTTGCGCTTACTATAACAGCACAATATTTTAATGAATTAATGTGACTTAGAATTTTGAAACATGTACATTGTACAATAAATTATTTAAACATTTAAAGTAAACATTGCTTTCCAACCGTGTTTTATGTTATTAAATTTATATGAGAATGAAAATTAAAGTGAATCATTTATTATGACTCATTTAAAATATATACCTTAACCGCAAACAAGTCCTGCTCCCAACATAAGCATTTTCAGCTTACCATCAGTGGTTAGAGGGAATTGCTAGTATTTAAAAAAATATGTATTGTTTTTACAGCCATAGATATTTCAAGAAGAAACACTTGTGACATTTTGGTTTATTATTATTGAAATGATCTATTTAACATAAAAATACTAGGTACTAACCGCAAACATTTTTGGAGAACATGCATGTCTCCAAAAATGTTTGCGTATATGTTAATGTATGTATTTTAATTTTTTTCAATAAACTAAAACCACCACTAGTACTTTATTGTAAACATAGGTGAGTGAGAAAATAAAAGGTTTGTTTCAGAATTAACGAATTTAAATATCACATTATTTATTTAAAAAATCTGTATCACACAAACTGATTCCTTTTAACAATGAATAACTGTGAACATTTACAGTATTATGTATATAATAATGTATTTTGCAACAAACTTTAAAAGTAGTGTTTAGAGTTTGTTGTATCTTTGTTATATTATTTTTTTAATTTTATGTATTTTTTGAAAGAACTTTTGTGCGCAGGATCATGGTTTCAAAATCAAACGATTTTTGTGTATTTGTTCTACACCACAGAAATAGTTTATATTTCTAATAGGTTTTCCTTTTGCTAAAATAATACCTTTGTTATACGAAGTGCTCATGAGTAAAGGTCCTACTATATATTTGTATTTAACATGTCTTATTTACGGTTGTAACTTTATTATACATGAATCTGCAGTCTCTTAATTACTCAATATCAAAAATATTTCTTCCAATAATATTAAGAGCATGAAGTAATTGTATGTGTGTTTAATTTTTGTTAACCAGGAAACATGCTTCAGACAATCTACTATTTATTATGATTTAAGTATAAGTATGTAAGTTAGCAGTTGAATGTAATTTCTACGAAATAGCAAAATTTTCACACATATTCTGTTTTCTGTTAATGAAAATCATGTGCAACCATTTTGAGTAAGCAAAATTTTCACACATATTCTGTTTTCTGTTAATGAAAATCATGCGCAACCATTTTGAGTATTGACTTATTCTATTTTTAGCAAGTAATTAGCTAGAGCAGGGCAAAAAAATGCTGACCCTGGTTATTATTATGAAATATTACTTTTTAACAACTTTTTGATCATATTTGGTTTCATAAATATTAAGTATATATTTTGCAAATTGAAAAAAATTAAACACATGCATATATACATTTACTTTAGACATAAAACCAATTTTAGGCACTTATATAAATCCTATGAATTAATATTTGTGTTTAAATGTATATTTTTAAATATATTTCATATAATATCCGTTCACAATTGTATGGTATGAGGTAAGAGCATTCATTTTTATGTTTGTGTAGTAAAAAAAAAATCACTAGTTTGGTGACGTGCCTATCTAAATTTCTTTCACCAAACTATCGTAGAATTGATTCATCCATTTCAGCTATTATTGTACAGTGAACCATTTCCCAATCGATAACTCATTAAATTATAATTTAAATTAAATATTAACTATTGTCATATTTTCACAAGTTATCGGTAATTATTTTGGTTTGAAGATTTTGAATCTTATAAGATCTAATGTCTACTACAAAGTTACATTGTAAGTCTTGAAATGTTTTGAAAAATACAAAAATATCAAATTAAATTTTACTGTTTTACGTCAACTGTAATTAAATAAAAATAATATTCACTATATAGATATCGGATAAGTATATATATATATATATATATATATATATATATATATATATATATATATATATATATATATATATATATATATATATATATATATATATATATATTTACGCGAACATTACACATTTATTAAAATTACTTTTAAGGATTGTATCGCGTTTAATACATATAATGATTTTTTATATTTACACGAACACTACACATGGATATTTAATTAAGTGTAGTGTTCGCGTAAATATAAAAAATTATTAAACGCGATAAAATCCGTAAAAATAATTTTAAACAATGAATGTCGTCAAAATTCTGCTGTGCAATCACTAAAAGACTTGTCTTGAAAATATGTTGTCTTACGAGAAGAATCCCTAAAAATCAGAAAGAACACTTGCAAGAAATTTTTGCTAGAAGTACTAAGTTATATAGTATTTAGTAATTTTACACATTAAATTTGTTAGTCTGAAAAAGGTTTTTTTTGCTTTGTTCATATTTTTTATATAAAAATACAGCAGAAGTTTTGAAATGAATTAATAAACATTTAGGGCGGCCTTTTAAAAATTGGATGGCAGAATTTTAGTATGTCTCATTTTTTTTCTGTCTGCAATGGAACTTAGAAACTCGTCCATTTTTTTTTCTAATTATTTGTTTCATTTAAAAATGTCTTACCAGTTAGCATATACAAATACAATTTGTTACTTAATTTTGTGCTGAGAAAATATATTTCAACAGGTTCCCATATTTTTTGAACTGCATACAGACATTTTTTAATTGATTTTCTACTTTTAATTAATTATCATATTGAGAATGTTAAGTCATTGTTAAGATTGAGCTTTGTTAAGCTACCTATCGAAAATGCAAAACACTTAAGTCCTCTTTTTTTAAGTACTAAGTAGGGAAACATGTTTTGAAAGTTCCATAAAACTACAGAGCTAATTAATTTATAAATCAAGTTAGTAATAAAAAAGTGTTCATAAGAGTACAAGTATTTTGCATTTCACATCTGAAAAGATATATATTTTTTACATTATTAAATTATATTCCACCAAGAAACAACAATCACAATTTTAAATTATCTTGAACTTGATTTGGTATGATTTTTTAAGTTCCTTGGGCCCGAATAAAAGAATAATATACGAACATTGTAAATAACTATGATGTGTAAATGCAAATTTAATACTGTTAACAAATATGATACTATTTGTTGGCAATATTAAATTTGTATTTATTTTTCCTGTGTTTTATTAAACTTTATCAAAGAGTTTCAGAAATCTTTTTCATCTGTTGCCATATTGTTTGTCCAGCGATGTGCGGAAAAAGTTCCCCAAGCTCGTACGACTGGTAAGTAAAAGTATTATTGAGTTTTGTGTAATATGAATAAAAGCGATATTAGTACAAGCAATTGAGTTTAAGATTTAAAACTAAACAAGTAGTTGGGAAACTGTCTCGTAAGCAACATTTATCTTACATACTTACTTTAGTAGTTAAATATCCTTGCTTTGCCGTAATCACAGACGTAAAATGTAGACGTAATGCTACACTGAACATGTGTGAAGTACCCAAGTAAGCTCGTTTTACGTAAATCGGACCAAAAATTAATATTCAAAAACTGAAGGTAGCCGGACTAACTATGACATTGGGACGTCAAACATCTCAGTCCCCCCCGTGACCATGGTTGCTGTAAAGCACCCGAAACGTCGGGAGTTTTAAAAATAGTAAATGCTTCATTGTCTCCACCTCCATATTAATTTTTTAGATGATGAAACATAAAATCTAAAACATAGATCTTGCAGAATGTTATCCATAAAGCTTATATATACCAAACACTATTTTACACTTTTAAGCATTACGATATATTGAACATTATGTGCACAGCATAGATTTTTATGGCAAAGTATTTCAATATGTAAAGAAAACTTTCAGTTTTATTTTAATCGGAAATTTCATTATTGGAGTAACCAACCATCTTGTGAGATATATAGTATTTTTTAGGGGCTGTATATGTATAAAATATAGTAAAGAGCTTAAACATATATGATCTTTTTTAAGAATGAAAAACGAAAATAAAAATAACATCATTTTACCTGCAATATCATTTCAAGTTAGTGCTGTAGTATTTATTAAATATAAATATAGTTTAATATCATATATATCTTTTTATATCTTCCTATCGTTGTTAGTGGTGCTCTTAGTGATTGTCTAACTTCAGAATGACTCAACTGATTGAGGTTATATGCACATAAGTATAATATGTTTGTTTTGTCGAGATGAGGGTTCATAGATATGCTGGGATCCGATGGATGGCGCTGGTACTCATCGCGCTGTCTACTGGGGAAGACAGGAAAAGTTATTATAATTTAAAATATAAACAGTATAATATAATATAAAAAATTGTTAAACTTAAATACAATATGTACAGGACGGAGTGGATTTGCCGCCAGCGATCGGCTTCGACGTATCTGAAGATGTCACGTTGCCGCCACGTCAGCAGTCTTTCCTCATTGACCCAGCCGGTCAGGACCTCGTGAGGGAATTTCTCACGCAGTACTTCGCTATCTTTGATTCTGAATCCAGACAGCCGCTGTTGGAAGCTTACCATGAAAGCGCCACCATGTCTATGGCCGCAAATTACCTGACCAATGATAATAGAAACATGCCAGCTACTAGGTTAGTAATGATCAATTCATTTTATTTATTTTTTCCTCATGTGCATTATATTGTCATAGTTATAATGTTTAGTGGACCCAGAGAATATCACATACCACGCCTCATTTATACGTCTTTAGGCGCAGTCTATTAAAGAAAATGAAGATAGGTTCTTAAATATTTTTTTACTATCCACAGATTAAATCAATACATTTCGAACAGTCGGAATATAATACGAATCACGGAAAGGGAATCAAGAAGAAGATACCTACGCACAGGCAAGCTTCAGGTGGTGTCCTTCCTCTCTGATTTACCGAAAACGACTCATGATCTCATGGGGTTTGCTGTGGACTTGCTTGTATTTACTGTAAGTATAACATATATTATTTTATATGCCTGTGTTATATGTATGTAATTGGTAACGAGTATGTGTGCGTGTGTTATCATGACTCAAAACAATTTCTCCAGTTCTTTCCATTATTTTTCATTATTTAAAACAATGAGATAACATTATAGTGTACAACAAGCTAAAATTTTACCTAATGATTAGACATTACTAAACCCTATTGACATCTACAAAAAAGAAGGTAACAGATGAAATACCCCACGACCTTTAATTAATATGGGCTATCCATCTCCTAGTATGAAGAGTACACAATAGTATATGCACAAATAGTCATCAGGGTAGAATAGAATATTATTTTATTTCAATATAGCTTACAAGTCATTCTTATTGGAATTAATTTTTTTACTTTTATAACTGTTTTTAAAATACCTATGTCCTGGAAATAACCAACAAGAAACCCAGTGGGACATTAAAAAAAAAAGTAAAATCATACAATAAAAAACAGGTTGAACAATTTTTTTACAAAACTAATTTAATAAATAGTCAATCATGTGTTTATCTATATTTTAATAACACTATACAGTTTTTGTTTAATAAAATATTTAAACTTGGTAATACAGATACCTTGTATGTTTTATTTTACACGCTTTTCTAGGACACATGTTATAAAAGAGTAGTATTCACATTGAATGATGAATAATTTACTGTACTCTGTGGAGTCCAAGTAACTGGTACCTTGTGTTTTCTCCTAATGATTATACAATGTATTTTATATTAAAACTATTTTTGTTTTTGTAACATACATGGTGGTACCTACCCAGTAGGAGTCATAAACAGAAAAAGAACAACCATCTGGTAAAATAAGCATCCCTGAGAATTACCTTTTTTATTTTAAGGTCACATGAAACCACAATTGACTTCTCAAAATAGAGAAAATATTTTGTATAACGAAATTTAGAGAAACATTACTTTTAATTTCTAGTTAATATAAAATATATCACATTTAACATTTAATTCAATTTTACAGCCGGCAATGATAGTGCTTACGATGAATGGCTTATACAAAGAGACGAATACGCCAGGCAGCCCAACGCGGTCCTTTCATCGCACCTTCGTCATAGTGCCTAATAGTGGAGGTGGATTCTGTATCATCAACGATATGTTATATGTCACCAATACTACAAAGGAACAGGTGAGTGTTGAAGCCAATGCTAATAGTGGAGGTGGATTCTGTATCATCAACGATATGTTATATGTCACCAATACTACAAAGGAACAGGTGAGTGTTGAAGCCAATGCTAATAGTGGAGGTGGATTCTGTATCATCAACGATATGTTATATGTCACCAATACTACAAAGGAACAGGTGAGTGTTGAAGCCAATGCTAATAGTGGAGGTGGATTCTGTATCATCAACGATATGTTATATGTCACCAATACTACAAAGGAACAGGTGAGTGTTGAAGCCAATGCTAATAGTGGAGGTGGATTCTGTATCATCAACGATATGTTATATGTCACCAATACTACAAAGGAACAGGTGAGTGTTGAAGCCAATGCTAATAGTGGAGGTGGATTCTGTATCATCAACGATATGTTATATGTCACCAATACTACAAAGGAACAGGTGAGTGTTGAAGCCAATGCTAATAGTGGAGGTGGATTCTGTATCATCAACGATATGTTATATGTCACCAATACTACAAAGGAACAGGTGAGTGTTGAAGACAATGCTAATAGTGGAGGTGGATTCTGTATCATCAACGATATGTTATATGTCACCAATACTACAAAGGAACAGGTGAGTGTTGAAGCCAATGCTAAATTCTATAATATAACGTAAGGATGTTGCTGCTACCACTGCAGTTGTATTATGGCTGTATCATGGATGTCTAGATTCCACACTAGCTTAAAGTAGCAGCATAAAGTGGCTATCTGAGGGTTTAGAACCGGTGACCCTTTTATTGATAACGAAGCTTTCCGTCTTAGTCCTCAGAGGTGACAATACACCTGCAATTTAATTAATAACAGTTTATGGGCCTAAGTGTCCACTTACCGGTTCGACTGGGTGCAGGTTGGCCTCTATAAAAAAGACTACCTTTTTTACGAGTTTTACGTTACGAGTTACGAGTTTTCTACGTGGTAGAGTCATGCTGCAGTTATATTAGTAGTATAGTTGTAGCACGAATGGGTCGGCTCGACCGGGGAAGGACCACGCTCTCACAGAATACCAGCGTGAAATAGTAGCTTAATGCTGCTGTATTTCGTATGGTGAGTGTAGAGAACCGGAGACCCTTTTTACTGAGAATGAGGCATTCCATCTCAGTCCTCATGGGTGACAACGCATCTGCATTTTGATTTGTAATGGAAGATAGATGTAGATGTCTATGGGTCGCAGCAACCACTTACCATCAGGTGGACTGTGTGCTCGTTTGTCAGCCTATTCTATAAAAAAAAAAAGACTATAAGGACAATAATATTTTTAGTCTGGTATTTATGTATATTCTTACCATCTATGTTGCATGTAGATGATGGAAGTTACTATTTTGGTATGTCTATACATATCTACTAATCATATCAGTTTGACATTATTGTGAACAGTGACATGATAAGTGTACATTCCAAACATTTAATTAACTTGAATATGAAATGTAAAACGCGCGCAATCTCTTGGCCGGAAGCCGGAATGAAGTTGCCTTTTGCTCATGAAAAGATGCTATTTGATAGAGATGTGCCACTTCATATTCACTCCTAACATCAGAACCAGTTTGTTTTGTTTAAATTAATTATATTGATTATTGAAAATTATTATTTTAATATCTGTATGTATTTCAATAAAACAATAGTTTCTAATAGAGAATTATGATAAATAGTTTGAACATATAGTAAATACACGATATATGCTGGGACAAAAAATTCTTTCAGTAACCCCAAAATAATATAACTAAATTTTTCACCTCACATCCATCATAAAATAGAATTAGAATATTGTTAAATAGTTGTATTTATACGTACATATTAATTTTGTAATTATGTAGTTGTATATAATGCAATTATATATAATATTATATTTAAGTCTGCCCATAGTAATCATTTTTTCTGATGGAATGTAATAAAAGTTTTAATATACATAAAATTAAATAATTGGCACGTAAATTGCAAATATATAGCGTAAAATCTACTTTATTTAATAGGAGTAAGGGTCAAGTCATTTATCAAACAAAAATTGATTGACTCTAAAGGTGGTACGTAAATTACTATTAAATTAATATAAAAAAGGTAATTTATATAAATTTTATTTATTTCATAAATTCGTTAATTTTTTAACTGTTTATTTAACAGTTAAAAGTGATATTAATCATCCATAAAGCACCACACCAAGCGGAGACCGGGATCATAGGAAACTATAGTTCTTGCAATTCACAAGTGCGGTCGAGCTTTGGATGTGGTTCGACACAGTGCACACAGTGCATGTACATGTCAAACCAAATCCAAAAGTCAAGTAAATTGCAAGAACTATATATAATGTATTCTGTCTTACTCTCCGGCTGATTAAATCATATAGATCTATAAAATAGTTGTCTTTTATTGGTGTAGCTTTTTCGTTTCGTCTTTAAAATCACTACAATTCCAAAGAAGTTTTCTCTTCAATAAATATAAAATAAAATCAAATCATAATGGATAATAAAAATAATTGATTCTACGTAACATTTTTTAATCTGTGGTAATTTTAGCCGCGCAAGATGCGTATTCGCATCTCTAGTTTTAGTTAACGCCCACCCTCCCACTCCTCTTGTCACCATTTTAATCAACTAAGATATAATGTGCGGACAATATCTTTTATTAGTTAGATCATTGCATGCCAGGTTGTTCGTAATTTAATTATATTTACTTGTAAAATAAAAAGTTTTACTGGGTTAAATATTTCGGAATTTCAATAATTAATGAATATTTCATTTAATTGTATGTATTTTATGTATCTGTTACAGGAGGAGAGTGCTTTCAAATCAGGAATGCCAGAAGCCATTCCACCCACTCCGGCACCAACTCCTACTCCTGCCCCAACCCCATCATTCTCCAATGATCATCAGATGTTGTTAAACACGCTTGGCCAGCAAACTGGAATGAACGAGCATTGGAGCTTAAAGTGAGTTCTCGTTTAATAATATTCTAAAGGTGTGTCCAAATACAGCGCGGCATTCGAGCGCGGCTGCCGCGCGCGGCTAGCCGCGCTGTAATTGGACAAACGGCCGCGCGCGGCAGCCGCGAGCTACCTGCAACGCGCGGCGAACACCACTAACGTCGAATGGTTAGTGTTGGCTGTTGGTTCGCCGGTGGTTGTGTGTAGACGGACGTGTTTTATTAAGTAAACTGGATAGCGAAACAGCAATTCGTCTTATTGAAATGTATGGCTCCAATCTATACAATTTAATAAATCTGTAGAAAAGTCGAGTCTATAATTCTAATATTTTCTGGAAAAAACAAGTCCAGGCGGCTAAATAAAGCCACTGAATAAGGCCACTGAAACCAAATTAGTGGTTTTTAGAATGTTTGTCTGTCTGTTTAATCAAGATTCACGCGAAAACTCCTTAACAGATTTCAGATGCTGCTGCCCGTCTTATGTAGATTTCTACTCCTGTTCATGAATTTAATTCTTCTTACACGTTCACCGTAAATAGAACTACATTTATGAAATTTCGAAGACTACTCGAACGTAAAGAAATACTGGCATGTGAACCAATATTAATAAAGACCATGAAATTAAATCTTATTTTATCAAAACTATATCAAATTTAATTATGCATATTATATAAATAACGCATTTCCGATTCCAGGAAAATTTTCCCTTCATAAAAACATATCAGAAGACGTGCTCGATATATAAAAGGTATTGCTTGACGATTGATGATATTAATGCGATTCTGATAAACTAACTTATGTGTTTCTGTAGCCTATAATATTGTCAATATAGACACAGATACCGACGTATCTCTACAAGTGATCCAGTTTTGCTAATATTAGTAAGAAATAGTAAGATAAATGTTTCTAAATTCAAGCCCACGCGAGTGAAGCCGCGGGTAAAAAGTTAGTATCACAATAATAACGTAGGAGGAGATCTATGGGATGAAATAGAAAAAAAATCGTACAAAAAGCCGCTTTAAAATTGAAAATGAAGCCTTTTAAGTTCGTATAGAAGGGAAAGAAACAGAGAAAAAACATATTATATTTTATTAACAGTACAAACAGTTAAACCTAATTCTATCTTTTTAAAATAGGTAGTTCCAAAATGACTCCCTTTGTAAACTTATTACTAAAAAACGGTAGGCATATCTCTTTGCAAAAATATATAATATACTTAGAATTAAAAATATGTTTTTATTTTGGGCTACCTTACCTTACCTTTTCTCTAATAAAAATCATAGTGAAGGCAGTTTTTACTAGAGCGATTTGCATACGCAGCAATGCCGCGCAGTAGGTTTAAACTAAGCGCGGCATTCGCGGGACACAAATTGCCGCGCGTAGCTGCCGCGCACCTTGCGCGTCGTGTTTATTTATTATTTATTTTTTATAGTCCCCGTTGAGTTTTTTTATTTATTTAATATATTATTACATTCATTAATTACACATTACGTTACGGTACAATCATAAGTTTATAGAAACTTTACCGTGTACCGGTATCACCGACAATAACAAATATGAGGGTGTAGTAAAAAAAAACACATTAGTATTTATTAGTTAATTACGTAACCTTCTATTGTATAATGCATCGCGCATGGATCCTATATTTTATACAGGGCGCTTGTTTTAGGGCGTTATCGTAGTATTTATTATTAAAAACATATTATGTATAATTTAAATTATTAGTAATGCATTCCATAAAGTAATTTTTTAAAATTAATTTAATATTTTTTTGATTTAGTTCTGATTTTACTAATAATGGTAGCTGGTTAATTAGGTTAGGAATCATATATTCTTAGGTACACTTACCATATAAATTATTGTATTTAGGTAAGGCTAGTTTAGGTTTTCCAGAGTTGCTAGTTTTAGAGTATTCACGTGTATGTGCAATTTTTAACTGTTCATGGAAAAATTCTTCTATAAGAAGGGTAAACTTTACCTTTTCGTGTATAGGTATAATTTTGCAATAAAAGGTTGTGGTGATCTGATTCTCTATACTGGTTTTTAATACTATCCGGGATTATAGTTTTTAAAATACGTAATTGTAATAGATAAATACGTTCTAAATGTGATCTGTACCTTCTACCATAGCAAGATAAACTATATGCTACTTTTGACTCTACCAGTGATTTTTATAGTTATATAAGTATTTTATACGGAATTTTATATTTAATTATAGAAAATTTTGCAAGCTTTAGTTTATCACATACATGCTCAATATGCTCTTTCCAATTTAGGCGACTATCTATCACGAGTCCTAAGTAGGTCTGTGATTCTAGCAGGTCTATGGATTCGCAGTTACATTTCGTTTGGATCTGTCGTCTGTGAAGGCATTGGTGGTCATGCTCGATGAGCCTAGGTATAACCTTACTCCTATTTTGACTAGAGCTAATGTACATTAACTTAGTCTTCGCAGCATTTGGCAGCAAGACTAATCCTTTATCATGTGGCCACTTCATAAGTATATTAAAATCGTCTTGTAGGAGGTTGAGAGTGTCGTTTATATTGCTCCCAGCCGCAATCAAGCAAGTATCATCAGCATACTGGTAAATTTCACATCGCCTGATAATATTAGCCAGACTATTTACATAGGTAATGTAGTGTAAAAGTCCTATTATGGAGCCTTGTGCAGTGCCTACAGATACATTTACTATGTTGCTCATTGAATCACCCACTTTAACCACATGTTATCTATTGGTGAGGTAATCTTTACGCCACGACAGCAGTGGTCCTCTGATACCATTATCGTTCAGAATATCTAATAGTTGGTCATGACGAAGTGTATCGAAAGCCTTACTGTAGTCTATAAACACTACCAATATGTGTTTTTTCTTATCTAGATGCTTGTAGATGCTATTTGTGAACGCCGTTAAAAGCTGAGTGGTATTTTTATGAGGGTTAAAGCCAAACTGTTTATTAGTCTGTATATTATTTTTATCATAGAAGTTATAAATCTGCCTACTAACATTTTTCTCAGCTATTTTGTTAATGGTAGGTAATATAGTGATCGGCTATAGTTATTGTAGTCAGACTTATTACCCTTTTTATGTATAGGTCTAACAATGCCCGTTTTTAGTACTTTGGGATACTTGCCGTTCCTAATACGTGCATTTATAAGATTTGTAATAGCTAATTTGACCACTGAGTATATTTTTTTAATATCTATGGCTCGTATACCATCAATACCAGGAGCTTTATTATGGTTTAGAGACTTAATGATATTTTCCACTGCAGTCGTGTCTGCATGTATATACCTCATAGATACATTGGCGTTTTCACGATAGATTGACTTATCCAGTAGAGGTGTTATACATTTTGGTATGATTTGTTGCAAATTTTCATCAAAAGTCGTAGCAAATGTGCATGCGATGTTTTTAGCTGTATTCCTGCCGTTGCTAAAGGCTTTCAGTATAAAAAAAATTATCAATCGACTGTTTTATTCTGCCGGTTAATCTATTTAATATTTGCCAAAGATATCGTGGATTATTTTTATTATTATTTATTTCTAATTTTAGCCATTCATTTTTGCTTTTTTGAATTAATGAATTTCCATAGTTTCTTGCTTTGTTGTAGGTTTGTTTTAAAATCTTATATTGACTGTCCTTAGTTCATTTATTAAATAATTTATATCTGTGTTCACATGCTTTTAAAGTTTTTTTATTCAACCATTCATTATTTATTCGCTTAGCTTTTATTTTAATTTTTAATTTATAAACGCCGGTTTTATAACATTGTTTAAAGTTATCATTTATAAAATTATAAATTTGTATCGGACAGGTCATGGTATTCGTAGATTAAGATTTTATTAAGACATTGTTATTAATACAAGTCTTGATTTTAGAAACGCCCTGTATACGCGACCCAACACAGGCAAACACTATCGCGCGGTGGTCCGCCAGTGTCGTACCGATAGCAGCTGTGAAAAGGTCTTGTGTATGGGATTTCGCGTTAATATGATCTATGCAAGATTTACTTAACTTACCACCCGATATTTCTATTCGTGTGTTAGCAGTAATCCCACGTACAAGACCCAAGCTGTACATTAAGTTAATATATTTATGTTTTACAGGACTATCGGAATTCAGGTCAATATTTATGTCGCCTATTACATACAACTCTTTATTACAACAGTATTTTTGTAAAGTGTTTTCAAGCTCAATAAGAAATAAGTGTTTACTGGTTTTAGGAGGACGGTACACGGCACATAGGTCCGCAGAATAGCCCGAGTCGGAAATGATATTGCATATAATACTCTCAAAGTGTTCTGTTTTGATGTTTTTAGTGCTAAAATTATGTTTATTATTTACATAAATTACAATACCACCACCCCTTCGGGCTTTTCGGAGACTAGTTAACATTTGGTATCCTGTAATTTGAAAAAGACAACTAATAGACTCCGTAATATTATCCTCAGTTACCACAACGACATCTGTACACTGCTTGGAAGTTATAATAGTTTGCTCTAAACGGGCAAAGTTTTTTATCATAGACCGTATGTTGATATGCACGCATAACAAGGTAATACCATGATTTTTGGGTAGAAATCTAAGAAAATTTTTGATATTTGTACAATTTAAGCATTCATATATTTCATCACTTAATGTTTCCATTCAAAAAATATATATAAAAGTAGTTCTTAAATCAATAATAAAAATAATATATACCTTATTATTAAACTACTAATTCTGTTTGGCTAATATGTGAACATCATTTAGAGTTCTTAGATAGTGTATTTTACTTATATCATCCTTACGTGCTTTTACGGACCCTTTTTTTAAACCAGACGTAATTGTAGTTAAGCTTTGTTTTTAATTCCTGTTACGCTAGCCATAGTATTTGTTTATTTAGTCGAGTCATAGTTTCCCTGATATACACGATGGCATTATTGTTTTGTTCTTGTGGATGGATATCTGCAACGGTCACTGCTGTTGATCTTGCTGCTGCGAGCCACTTTTCCTGCATACTCCTCTTTAAGTTCCACTAGTAAGCTACCATCTTGCTCTCCTCTCCCTCGCAGCCTGAGTGATTTCTTGATACCGGTTTTGGATAAGTTTAACTTCATAGCCAAATTTTCGACCAGGTTTTCCACATTCTCATTTTTATGCCAGGGTACATTTGCAACTTCTATCTGCTTTGAGAGTTTTTCTTGTTCCAGCGCTTGAATTTGTTGTTTTAAGACGCCCATCCTTGTTTCCAAGTTGTTATTTTTGTTACTTAGTTCAATGTTCTTTTTTTTCTAAATTTTTGATTGTTTCTTTGAATGTTTCGATACATCCCATTACTACATCAAGTTTGGCACTATGAAACTGTAGTGAGTCGTTTACTTGCCTCATTTCATTTCTTATGGTTTTTTCTACTTCCTTGAGATGTCCTTTAGTAGTTTCGCAGAGTCGAGTTGAGCTAGATTTTCAGCATCCTCTTCATCATCGTCCTCTGGTACAAATATTGAAGATTTACGCTTCGATGACTCCTGCACACATTCCAGGCATGTCCATCCCAATCCAGGAGATGCTGCTTTAAGAGCATTGAGCTGCTTGTTGGTTAATCCAGTGCATTTTGTGCTGATATGTACTAAACGCTCACATTTGTTGCATTCCACTCCTTTGTTATAGATTTATTACAGTTGTCGCACTTGGTAGACGTAATAGGTATTTTCGAAAAAAATATTTAGTTAAACAATAGAAGCTCACGCGGTTATCGATAGGTGCAATGCACACGACGTTTCGGCGGTGAATTTTGGTGGTTTGGACACACCTTTATGACATTCCTGCAACGAGCAATCAACTATCCATTAAATATCTATTTTATTATTTCTATACCTTTTAATAAATGGGGGTGTGAGTGCTATTTGGTTTTGTTTGGTATTACCAAAATGTCCTGTAGACCGAATTTCGGTCATGGCGGCAAGTCTCAATGGACACTAAACATTTGTGCAGGATGTGATTATAATGCAAAAGTGCATGCGCAAACTGGTGTAGCCTCTATTTTCTCACTGTCATTGTCTGATAGAATGACAATCCGACAATTCCGGATAAAGATCAGGCGCAAGACTAACGGCTTTACTTGTTTTCCGCGGCACGGGGATAAACACCTGAAAAATATTTTTGTTTTGTGTAATTTTATAAATAATAGTTGTTATTGAATTAATAACGCTGGAACCTTCTTAATGCGTGGGAGGCTATACAAATCGTACTGTGTTCTCTTAATACTGAAATTATAATAAGAAATTACTATAGTTAATATTTTTTACTCTTTTCAGTTGCCTACAAGAGACTGGTTGGGATCTCCAACGGGCATTGTTCATATTTAACCAACTTCAGTCTGAAGGCAAGATACCTCCTGAAGCATTCATTAAGTGAATCTTATCTTTGCTGGTCAAGGCTTTGTTGTTGATTGTACATATAGGATAAGATTTCTTATGACAGTCCTAAGTTGCATATATTATGTGAACACATTTCCTGGAAGTATGAAGATGAAGAAATGTGATGAATTGAACAAGTTGAATAAAATATATACATTATTATCTTAAAATCTAGTTTGAGTATTTTTTACATAAAAATACTCAAAACTACAAATTGGTAGAAATGATGATATTTAAAAACATACAAATCTGCAAATTTTAAGATAAAAGTAATTTAATCAGGTATATTGTAAAATAAAAAGCAAAAAGAAAATTTTTGATTTAAGTAACATAAATATTTTGTTACATAAAAAATTACATATATATTTACTTATTTCTTACTTTATTTAGGTTCCTTGGAGTTGTGGTTCTGTTTGCTATATATCAAACCTTCGGATCCTTTTGCAACAATAGATTTCATACAATAGATTACACCATAGAGACAGTTAACAAATTTTGAAGGTTAGTTTGATATATAGTTAATATTAAACTAATAGGCCTCCTATTAAATTAATATTTTTATACATGATTGTAAATAATTGTTTAATTAATTCATAAAGTCCATTTTTGTAAATGGTGTTATGTTAGTGAAAAACTGATGTGTTAAACTGTTTTGTCTTTTTCTTATTGATATTATTAGTATTTACATTTTTGAAAAGATACTGGAGAAGTTTTGAGGGTAAAAAAATTGTAAAATTATTGTCATTAATGCATTTCATACAACTTTATAGTTACTTTGAACATCGAGGTTTGTGAACTAAAAATAATTTAAAAAATTAACAAAAATGTTTGGTTTTCCTTTTAGAATCGTTACTTTTGTAAATATAGAATATATAGGTGTCGATCTGGGTTTGGGGTTCAAGCCACAGTTTGGGTGGATGTTTGGCTGACGTTTTCCTTACTGAGCATATGGTGCTGTCGCGCCTGGGTTTCTATTGAACCTTAAGGTGTTTCCATGGTGTGTGAGCGAGAGGGAGTGCTTACTCTTTACCTTTGTATTTGACAGCAGCGGAACCTCTTGGAATATCCCATGTGGGCTAGCTGCTCGGTGCAATCAAGGGTTACCCTTGGATATCAACATGCATCCATTAGATGTTTGGTTGGGAACGGAACCATTTTCCACCTGTGGTCTTGCGTGGGGTGTTTAGGGACAATTAGATAAAGATCTAAAGCATAATTTTAAGACTTATTATGATTTACTTAATAAAAATATTTTTATACATAAATCACCTTATGTCATTTCTTAAACCGTCTTGTCCTCTTTATTGTGATTAAATTTACGGACGTAATTTTAAGACCTGGGCAAAGACCAAAGTTCTCACGTTCTCATTGCGATTCCGATAGATAGCGGTATACTGACTCGTGTTTTTTACACCATTGGGTGACAAACGAGCACTCAGTCCACTTGATGGTAAGTGGATACTGTGGCCCACAGACATCCACATTTATCCTCAGTTAAGGATTAAAATGCAAATGCGTTGTCACCCCTGAGAACCAAGATGGAATGCCTTGTTTCCAGTAAAAAGGGTATCTGGTTCTCTACATTTACCACACGAAACACAGCGGAGTTACGCTGCTATTCTGTGAGAGCGGGGGCCCCCTCGGTCGAGCCGACCCATTCGTGCTACAACTATACTATAGCTGCAGCGTGACCGTACCACGTTCGTGTGTGCTAGATATGAAATAATAAGTATATTCAATGGTTTTGTGTGTATATACACAGTTTTAAGACCTTACAAGTTGCGAAACGCCTTTGATGTCTGGCGATACCGTCACCTGCGTAGGTAGGTATACACGTGGCCAGCGTGTATGCTAGGAGTTGTCAGGAAAATGGAAATAAAATATTTTGGATATTATAGTACTCACTATCATTTATTAAAATTATGTACATACTTATAAGTTAAAACGTTTATTGAACAAGATCATTTTTATTACTACATGAAAAAACACTAGTCTTGCACAGCCACATATTTTCGTGACACTTCCTTTTAATAGATTGTTATGTAATTTATTCGCATTCGGCTTAAAAATTTTATCAACAAAAAATAAGCATGGCTGTCATTCAATTCAATTTTACTTAGTAACTCATATAACTATAACAGTAACTCACTATTATAGATACTATATTTTTCAAAAACGGCATCTAAAATTACTCAATAAGTATTTACTATAAAACACGTTCGCGCCAACCGCATGTATTGTCTATCAGACTGCGAACTGCGTGCAGGGCTGCAGGGGCGGGCCGACCCCGCAGTACCCCCACCGTTGCTCTGCACAAGTACATTCGTTTCCCAAATAAGGTCTTTAAATAAATAGATTGACTTGGCCATCGCATGAAAACACAATGTATCTCACAAGTAATATATATTAAATTAGATTGCTTAGTGATCATGAATGCACGCGAGCCGTATACGTAAAACAAGGCGCAATTATTATCTAATAAAGAATAACTAAAATGTTATGGAATAAAAATAAATAATGTTTAGCTTAAAATAAAAAAAAAAACAATTGAGATAAAAGAATATGAATTAATAATTAAGAGAAGAGTAGTAGAGTATTTTAAAATATAAATGCCTGTACAATTACAATAGATGTTAGCGAATTTGAACATAATATTATGTATTACCTAATTATGTCAAATATGTATGTTGTATTATGCATACATTATAACAAATTATTATGGGACAGTGGGATCTGCCCATCCCTATCCATAGAATATACTGTATATTGTGACAAGCTTGGGGTTCGAGACAATAAAAACTGCCGAGTGAATTACCAAAATTGACACTTTAATTACAGAACACTAATTACAACAAAACAACAACAAAACATATAACAAAATACAATTGTACTAATGACCATTTTAGTTCACAGTTGTATTGCTTTGAAGTATTCACTTGTATCACCAAATCAATACTTACTCGGGTCGTGGTCTATAACGGCCTTATATAGGGCCTAAGCCTCAGATAGTTCCAGAACCTTCTACTGTAGAAACATCTAGAATGTTCGAGTACATATCGGTCCCGACTGACTAGGTGTCGATAGTTCTAGAAAGTTCTTTCATGAAAAATTTTAGAAGGGTCTTGACTCTCCTAGTTCTGCTACTCGGTACCAGAATTCGCTAGTGGCAACTAGTTTTTCTTTTTTATAGGATAAGGGTGACAAACGAGTACACAGTCTACCTGATGGTAAGTGGACGCTGTGGCACGTAGACATCTACATTTAACGTCGATTAAGAATCAAAATGCGGATGCGTTTTCACCCTTGAGGACTAAGATGGAATACCTCGATTCCAGTAAAACAGGTCTCCGGTTCTCTACACTCACCATACAAAACACAGCAGCATTAAGCTGCTATTTCTAAGTGTCGCCATGTACCAGGCATTAATTGTGGCGCGCAACATTAGGGTAAAAGAGGGTAATGGGGGTCACTTAAGCGAGAATTCAAATAAAAGCTTATTTCACAATAAAATCTTTATTGAAACTGTATAATAACAAAACTTACTTATTTAGCTATCAATTGAGATCATTTTTACTGATTTGGTAATCACATTTGGAAATAGTGATTGTTCAAAAAAATAACAGATTTGACCCCCATTGCGCTGAGGTGAGTGCAATGGTAGTCCTTTGGGTAATCAGAGTCAAACAAAATTTAGCACATATCGCACACATAACCTTTGGCTTAGTCCCACCCAGTGCAGTCCAGGTGAGCCATTTTTCTTGTAGTGATTTTATAATGTAATAATTTTCTTTATCTCCAGGTATTTTTTTTTATTGGCGTTGATGCTAAAACTGTACAATGCTGCTTCTCTCGGACTTGTCTTGTATGAGGATAGATGCTTCTTTCTCTGGCAACTTAATAAATTCTTGTATAGCAGACACTTGCTTTGAGCTTCCTTTGCTTTGTTCTGTGGATAAAATATTTAGGTTTACTTTTTTCGATGTGTCAGGAATTGATTGCTTTGTTTTGATGTGCTAGGCGTCAAGTGTATATTATCCTGTACTGCTGCATAAGTAGCAGCAGCTGAAATAGATTCATCATAATCTTGAACCGCAATAGATTCTGCATTAGAGAGTTTCAGCTGCAGCAAAGTCTTCTTCTGAAAATAGTTTGGGATTAATTGGAAGTGAAATAACCTTTTTGATCAATTAGCTGCACAGCTCTTTCCAAACTATTGGTAGACCAGGAAGTCTTTTCGGTAATTCTGACCAGTACTTTCGGCATCTACAACAAAAAAAAAAGCAGTATATAACATGTAGTAATTTAAGTCCATGGGCACATTATACTGCTTAACTTTGCCAGAAATGACTGATGACACCTGACTCCCATGACCCGCAACTACACTAATGAGTAAAATGTCAGAAATAAAAAACCGGAGAGAGATCAGGCGCAGGACCAACGTCTTTACGTGCTTTCCGAGGCACGGGGTGAGACACCGCCAACCTCTTGACTCCGGGCAGCTACTGAGAATTTCTTGACAGAAAAATTCAATAATTCATTTTTTGGCCGACCCGGGATTCAAACCAAGGACCTCATGATCAGTAGTGGCACTACTACAACCACTAGACCAACGAGGCAGTCAATAATAATAAATGGAGCTGAATAATAATAAAGTTATTACGTTTCTTGTTCTTGAGATTCTGCAAACAGAGCCATGTTTGTGGGATCCGAGACTCAAAAGTTTTAAGAATCGTACATTGCAAAATGATGCTTTGCGACGAATTATTCAATTACTACTTTTTAAAATAACGTAATCGAAGAATTAGAAAGACGAAGGAATGCCTAATGGGTTTTTATAGAACCATTATAAACAAATATGAGAAGTCTTCAAGGAACATCAACGCCAACTTTAACGCCGTTCAATGGCATTGCAATTTAATGACGTTGAGCGTTTAAGTGTAGCCACTCACTTTATCGCGTTAAATTTAAAGCCATAATTGCTGCGTTTATCGGCATTGACGTTTCCCGTTAGTGTAGCCCCAGCTTTAGCATGTTCGCTCGATGACGCAGGGGCGGAGCCATACCATGGACGTGCGGTGGGCTAGGCGTTGAAAATATGGATATCGACAGTCATTATTTTCAACAAAAAGTTTTAATTTTTTATATTTTACTACCCAATCTACTGTACTTTATTTATATACATTATATAATATTTTAAATTTTTCTCTAGTTTATTTATTTGCTTATTATCTTAAAAAGAAATGTAATTTTGTATAGTATATCCTTGTGGTATTAAAATTACTATGATCTACGAAACTTAGTACTACTTTACTTACTGTGTGTTTTGGCGGGAACTTGACAGTCGACGGATTGTTGCTCTTGTTTTATCGTTTAAATAATGGTTTGAAGTGAATTTTGGTACGTAAAAGTGATGCGATTTTGTGTATTAAGCGTCTGTGCATGTGAACTAATAGAGAAAACGACTGATGTTTATTAAAGCTTAAATTATTTTGATCGCTTAGGCGTCATATGAACTTGAGTTACTTTCGTCATCGACTGTTCTATTAGAAATAGCTGTTAAATACTTGATTTCTTCAGCTACATCTGTAGCACCTGTGCTTCTTAACATATAAACAGGTGACAATATAAAACAACGAGTACTTTTGAAAACCCTTACTGAAATATACTGATAAACATAATCGTCTTATTTTATTTTTTTATTTATGCTTTCATGCACAAAGTAGTACACATGGCGGACTTAGTGCCATAGGGCATTCTCTCCCAGTCAACCATTAGACTAAACAGAGATAGACATTATGGAGGCGTTTATATTTTAATAAAAACTAAATAATAAGAACTATAATCTAACATTTTCATACATTTATAATTTAATTTTCTTAGTAAATGAACTAAACTAAATGATTTACGATTGTTTTTTTTTTTAATAAAGCCGATATATCGATATTTCTTCTTCTTTCAATATATAAAACTCCGATACTGACTTACGATATATAAAAATCCGTTATTGATATATTTATAATTATAGATATATCTAAAAACCGACATTCTAAAAATATCAACAACCCTAGTTTGAACTGATCAGTTGGAATGATCAGTTGAACTGACCGTGTGTGTGGTACCTAATTTCTTTCGTCATATGAACTTGAGTTACTTTCGTCATCGACTGTTCTATTAGAAATAGCTGTTAAATACTTGATTTCTTCAGCTACATCTGTAGCACCTGTGCTTCTTAACATATAAAACAGGTGACAATATAAAACAACGAGTACTTTTGAAATCCCTTACTGAAATATACTGATAAACATAATCGTCTTATTTTATTTTTTTATTTATGCTTTCATGCACAAAGTAGTACACATGGCGGACTTAGTGCCATAGGGCATTCTCTCCCAGTCAACCATTAGACTAAACAGAGATAGACATTATGGAGGCGGTTATATTTTAATAAAAACTAAATAATAAGAACTATAACATTTTCATACATTTATAATTTAATTTTCTTAGTAAATGAACTAAACTAAATGATTTACGATTGTTTTTTTTTTAATAAAGCCGATATATCGATATTTCTTCTTCTTTCAATATATAAAACTCCGATACTGACTTACGATATATAAAAATCCGTTATTGATATATTTATAATTATAGATATATCTAAAAACCGACATTCTAAAAATATCAACAACCCTAGTTTGAACTGATCAGTTGGAATGATCAGTTGAACTGACCGTGTGTGTGGTACCTAATTTCTTTCGTCATATGAACTTGAGTTACTTTCGTCATCGACTGTTCTATTAGAAATAGCTGTTAAATACTTGATTTCTTCAGCTACATCTGTAGCACCTGTGCTTCTTAACATATAAAACAGGTGACAATATAAAACAACGAGTACTTTTGAAAACCCTTACTGAAATATACTGATAAACATAATCGTCTTATTTTATTTTTTTATTTATGCTTTCATGCACAAAGTAGTACACATGGCGGACTTAGTGCCATAGGGCATTCTCTCCCAGTCAACCATTAGACTAAAGAGAGATAGACATTAAGGAGGCGGTTATATTTTAACAAAAACTAAATAATAAGAACTATAATCTAACATTTTCATACATTTATAATTTAATTTTCTTAGTAAATGAACTAAACTAAATGATTTACGATTGTTTTTTTTTTAATAAAGCCGATATATCGATATTTCTTCTTCTTTCAATATATAAAACTCCGATACTGACTTACGATATATAAAAATCCGTTATTGATATATTTATAATTATAGATATATCTAAAAACCGACATTCTAAAAATATCAACAACCCTAGTTTGAACTGATCAGTTGGAATGATCAGTTGAACTGACCGTGTGTGTGGTACCTAATTTCTTTCGCTTAAATCCGTTTGAATCAGTTCAACTGATGACTTTAACTGACCGTGTATGGCGTCCATAACAATTATCAAGTTTATGAAACAAAACATTAATTAATTTAAAAATTGAGAAGATCAATTTTGATATCTAAATAGGTTACATTCACTTTAAAGTTATTTATTGAAGGTTATACATTTACTTATTTATAACTTTAAAGTTACATTACGGCTTTTATACCTTTAGAAAAGAAAAAAATAATTATAACTTATAATAATAGCAATTTTTTAAAACCTTTTCAAAATTGTATAGATAAAATTTAATACAAAAAATAACCAAGGAAATGAATCATCAGTTTTACTTTATCTATTACCTAAATGTGAAAAATTTATTGATGATAAATCAAAGTTAACTTAAGTACGTAAAAATGTAATATTTTCTACTATTATATAATTTTTTCAGGACACAGTAATAAAAATATTATAGAACAGTAACTAAATAAAAGTAATTCTAAAATTGTCTTGTGCCTTCATACAAATACCACTTAAGGGCTTAAAATGTAACTTAATTTTTAGTTATGTATTATGAGTGCGTTTTTTAGAAATAGTAATAAAAATATTTTAAAATCAATTGTATCATGAATTATCTGATAAATAATTTCAATTTAATCATATGTTAAAATATAAATAACTTAATAATACGTAACTAATAGTAATACATAACTTTTTTAAACTAAATAGCAAAATGGACATTCTAAAAAATTAAAAATGGCAATGTATTGAAGTTTTAAATGGAATTAAAAATCACACACTCTTTGTTTTTCCGGCTCAAATTTCAAATTTCACGTTCTTCTAGGTGATCCTTGCTTGAATACAACTGCTTTTTTCCCTTTTCAATTAGTTTTCAATTAATTTATATTAGTGTTTAGTTTACAATAAAGCAGTATAAATAAAGTTGTAGCAAAAGAAACACGTGTCATTTCGTTTTCATCTAATCTGCCAGTTTTTAGATTTCAGTCAGCTTCTAAAAATATATTATTGTGGCATCTTCTGGTATTCATATTTAATTATTATCGTCACATCCGGTATCGCATCCATTCCGTTACAATATGTTTTTGTCAATCGTTTCAATAATATCTTCATTATTTTATTTAGTAATGTTTATAAATATTTTACTTCCCACTTTTTAACTAGGTCCGACGGTATTGTCGCAGCGCATCGCCTGGCAGGGTCGCCATGTAACGTTAGAAGGTGTTAAATGAAAAGACGTGTTTCCCTTGCTATGACTTTAATAACACTGCTTTATTATTGTAAACTAAATTAAACAATAATATAAACTGTTGTGCGGGCTACACTAGAAGGGACAGAAACAGGAGGGGATACCTACATTCTCAAATTGCTGCCTCAACACAAAAAGGCACGAAAAAGCTCGTCAAAAAATGACACAAAAATTATAAGACACAGTCCATATAATTGGGTTTATTGTGTCATATGCACGTATAGAATGAAGTATCAGTCTGTAAGAGGGAATTAACATTAATATAATTTGCGTTATAGTCTAAAATCCCGTTGCAAAATCACTGCGTTCATTACGTCGCGTCGTGAGTCAAACACACATTTTTACATACGTTTATGAATAGGAGAATACGCTGATAATAGCGCAGTTAGTCAAAAGTGGCCGGAAGTAGTATTAATTAAATTAATGCTAATTAATATTCGAAAAAAATTTTCATTCATTGTTTTTTTAAATAAAATATCATCCACATCATAGTAATATATATATATATATATATATAAAGAATTCTAAAACAGTTTCTTCTAAAACAATGCAGTTGCACACTCGGCCGCAACTACCTCGCAGCCAGGTGTAAGCAGGCAACATTTTGATCTATTTATACGTTCATG